ATGATGAGAAAGAAATGAAGATATTATTAAATTGTTGTTTCCCGTCTAGGACGGGATTCAAAATTACACATATTTCGGGTAGCATTAGTGTTTCACTAATAGTTTTTGTCCCGTTCTGTCTGTCTAATTCACGCTAATGTGAGAACTTTGGATGCCATTTGTATACTTCATAGCAATTGTTAGTTTTCAATATATAGAAACAAATAAAATGCAAAATTTTGGACTTTTTTTCATAAAACAAACATGTAAATCAAAATCAAACATGTTTTAAATATTCTTGTAAGTTTCAACTTAATATAATTTTTTTAAAAATTGAAATTTTAATGAAAATAATCTTAAAAGATTTATGTTAAAGGGGAATAACTTACTCAATGCATTTTGCAAGCATGCACCCACATAGAGATTACCAAATTGTAATCTATAATTAACTGTATAGTTTCTTCCTGAAATCTTATATAATAAATAATGTTGGATTGCATACAATATCTAAACACTCTCAGAGGAATCACTTATGCATTCCTATATATATACATGTACATTTATTATATTGTATATCAATCAAATTTTAAGCATTCAAAATAGTTCTTATTAATCACCCTTTTTTTAACAAATGAAAGGCAAATGACTCCATACAATGTTTATGTAATGTATACAATAAACTTTATTGTTTAATTCATAGTGTTTTGATTATTTGTTATATTCACTCAGGTGACCTATTGCTATCTGTTTTCAGGCTAAGTACATAGTTATGGTTATGATGAGCAAGAATGCCTCTTCTGAAATTGTGAATTTTATGGCCCATGGTCAGGGGTTATGGTGTTAGGGTGGGGCTCTATTGATTATATAGTGAAAATTCTCTGTCTGCCTATATACTAGCTATGATGAGCAAGGGCCCTTCTTCAGAATTGTGAATGTCAAGGCCCCTGGGTCAGGGGTACCACAGAGGAGGGAGGGGGGCTCTACTTATATACTGAAAATGAATTAGTTGTTCAGTTTGAATTGAAATCTGTTCCTTGGTATTAATCGTACGAGGGCTGTTCGGAAATTATTGAGACAATTACATTTACTCCATAAAGGACAGAGATAATTTCATGAAAATTCATCAACATTTCATAAAGAACAAATAAAACACTTACGCAAAATTTCTATATTCCTTTGATAATTAGATAAGGTTTGGTGAAGTGATAAATATGCATATGTCTATCGACCCGGAGCAGCATCGCTACGTTATTTAACGTCAAGTCAGCCCGAGATGGTTTCGCATGTGAAACGATCGGGAAGCGTTTAATACTCTTCTTTCTTTATTATTACATATAACATAACAAAAATCAAACATTCTCTTTTCTTAAACTTTTCTTTAACAAGAGGCCCAGGGGCCTTATAGGTCACCTGAGTATCATGTAACAACTTTCCAGCGATTGTATTTGGTTCGTGTTTTAATCCAAAAGGAATGAAATTCACAAATTTTGAAGGAGGCACCATTGCTTATCAAAGGGCAGATTTCAAAGCATTAATTTATTTTTAGTCAAAGTATCCCCCTGGTACCCCTGACCCAGGGGCCCTGAAATTATCTATTTTGAAAGAGGCCCCTTTCTTCATTATAAGGCCAGCATTTTTTTTTATGTTTAGGTTTAGTTATGAACATGAGAATAAAAAAGTCCCGAAGGAGAAGGAAATAAAAAAAAAATTTTGATAAATCAATTATTAACATTTGTACATTCTTTTTTATGCTATTCTAATAGGCTCCTTACCACTGGACACATGATGCTTAGACTGTAAGCTATAACAGAGACCTAAACAATGTCGCTGGCAATATGCAATAGCTACCACGGGCAGTTTAAAACCTTGGGGAGGAAAATAATTTACAGACAGATACTTTTGAAACGAATACATAATTATCTCACCAGCATGTCATTGTGCAACAAAGTCGTCAGCATTTTATTTGTCCTTTGAACGGGTGAAACGTTTTGAATGGCACTCGTATCGATGAATTTTACACTAAACCAAGCTATCTTCTCAGATCTAGCTTTATTTACCCGCCGTTTCATCTTAAAACCGGAAGTGCGAGTTTGTAAATTTGAAATCTCGATCCCGACTCAAAAATTTGACATCGGAAAGAAAAAAATTGTTTTATTTTTCTCTGAAAATTCAAAACCTTGAATGGAGGGTTTGTAAAACTGAAAATAAAATAAATCCTAGCCTTAAATATGTAATTAGATCATTAGTAAATTAACCAGGAGCAAAGGATAAGATGTTCAAAGAATTCATGCATTTCACTATATAATATAAGCCCCACCCTAAAACATTGGGGCCATAAAATTCACAATTTTGGTAGCACTCTTGCTCATCATAACTATGTACTTAGTTAGTTTATTTAATACCCAGGAGCAGAGAAGAAGATTTTCAAAGAATTCATGTATTTTCACTATATAATCCCTGAACCCCTCACCCTGGGGCCATAAAATTCACAATTTTGGTAGAGGCACTCTTGCTCATCATAACTATGTACTTAGTTGGTTTATTTAATACCCAGGAGCAGAGAAGAAAAATTTCAAAGAAATAATGCATTTTCACTACCTACTTATTTAGCCCCACCCTAGCACTAGAACCCCTGACCCTGGGGCCATGAATTTCACAATTTTGGTAGAGGACTCATTGCTGATTACAATCATGCAAACAGTTTGACTGCTTGATGTCCAGGAGTAAAGAAGAAGATTTTTAAAGATTGCATTAATTTTAGTGGTTTTGGCCCCACCCCTCAGGCCCCAGGGGGGCAGGGATCATGAAATTCACAATTTTTGTTCCCCTTCACCCATAGATGCTTTGTGCCAAATTTGGTTGAAATTGGTTCAGTGGTTGCAGAGAAGAAGCTGAAAATGTTCAAATGTTAACACATGACGGACGACGCACAACGACGGACGAAAACGGATAGCAATAGGTCACCTGAGTTTACTCAGGTGACATAAAAATGTATGTTGTTGCTAACCTGGTATAAAATTTTCATTTGTGAGAAAGGATGACTTGGAATCATGCAATGCCGATTTATACAACGCGTGTCAACGATATTAATACCGTAACCATATCAATACCGTATAACCGTAAGTAATAACTGATGGTCTTCTAGAGCTTTTTATTTTACTGTGGTTGAATTAATTGTTAAAAAATTAATGTATACCAATGAAATAACAAACCCTAAAACGTTATTTTTTTCTTGTTGTTTTTGTTTTAGCAGGTTGTTCAGTGCGGAAAAGTTCTACATTGAGCTACACAAAATTTTAGGTATGCTGGCTGCTCCGTCCTTGACGTCAAAATCTATTTTGTCGTTAGTTACAGATTTCTCTACAGAGATTAATTTTTTTATGATCTCCGTATTTCTGATCAAAATTCTAACAAAGTTGCATAATATGAATTTGAAATAAAGCTTAAAAATTATACACATAAACTGAATTATTTTCGCTTTTATTATGGGTGCGCGAAGAGTTAAAACGTTGGTGATGCATATTTTCAATAGATGATTTCGTGACTGCTCTGGGTACTCCTACTATTGACGCATTTATATACCATTGTAAAGAAAATATTTAATATTTGTAAAATATCTCTTGCTTGTATTAATTCTTAGTATGTGTCAAAAGTACATGCAAATTTTTACCAAAAGACGTTAATTAGAAAGCAAAATATACACAATGTCTCAATAATTTCCGAACAGCCCTCGTACATTTCTGATAAGAAGAGTGCCTATTCCAAAATTAAGAAATGTGTGGACCTAGGGTCACGGATTCATGTGTGGTAGGGGCAGTACTGATTATTACTGATTTGTTGAAATGCATTTTCCCCCTACCCTGCCCATGGGTATTAAGTAACCAAACTAAGCTTTTGCTAAATATATAGTTATGGTGCCTCTTACAAAATTGTGAATGTCATGGTGTCTAGTTTAAAACATGAACCAAGTTCAATCCTTGGAAAGTTGTTGCATGAAGCTCAAGTGACCTTTAAGGCCCATATGTCTCTTGTTTTTTGAGCAGCATGTCTATTGAGCATTTCTCCTATTAGGGATGTACATGTAATACTATTATACTGCATCTGTAAAGTTTGTATAATATAAGCAATTTTTGACATATAATTCTTCAGCTTAATGTGAATAACATGCTATATAATTTTTAATATGTAATATTACTTATAACCATTCAAAGAAATATCCCAAAAACTTTTTACCCATGTGTATTACCCAAGACAGGAGCTTTCTAATTAATATACTATAATTTTTGATCCCATATGATCTAGACCTTGAAGTTTTACCTACTTTTTAAAATTGTTATCTTTCCTAATAACTTTTGATTGAGTAGAGATAGTGCTTTCATATTCATCATGTACATTACTTGTGACAAGATATTTCTGAGCTTGCTATGATTTTTTATGCCTTGACCATGCACGACTTCATGTTTAACCTAATTTTCCAAAATGCTAGTTTTTTGTGATTACTTTTGAATGACATACAATATGCCATAAATAATGGCATCCCATCCACTATAAATCAAGACACCAAAAGCAGGGTACCACAATTTTTTAATTTACTTGTATGTGTTGTACTCAGAAAATGTTTCAACAAAATGAAAATACTGAGGAAAGATGGAAATATGTTAAGAGTCATGTATTTGTGTATAAATGGCATGTTAATTTGATTCGTTTATGAGTACTGTAGTATTGACTTTGTATCAGATGATGCTCAGACTGTGATGAAAAATCTTATTAAAAGGTAGCTGCAGATCTGTAGCTCTCTGGTTGAAAAAATTCGGATCTCTGGTTTGTCTATCCCAATTTTTTCAACCAGAGAGCTACAGATCTACAGCTAATTAAAAGGAAATAGTAATTCTAAAATAATGAATAATAAAAAATCTGCAAAATGGAAAAAATAAAAAATAGAAAATAAAACCCGCCCGCCTGCCTCGATTTTTAAAAAAATCCGGATGAGAATCTAGGAATTTTTTTTATTATGGCCTTACCCAAATGCTGCATAAGCTGCCACACTTCTCCACACAATTTTGCCTCCATTCTGAGGATTGGGAACAATCAGCTGTGATGCAAGACTTCCAATTGATGCAATGACGCCACTGAAGTTTCAATGAATATTTAAGTTAAGGTAAGTCACTCCTGAAATTTGTTATATCAAGGATTTTTTGAGAAGTATATTTTGGATTAGTATTCATAAAGTGTAACTCAAAATCGCAAAGAAAATAGGGGGTCAGTGTGCATCCTACTGATCTACGGTACATTTAAGTTGACCTTTTTGCACTTAAATTTCATCTCTTTGATTAATTACTTTAACCCTTATTATATTTGATTAGATGTAAGCATGGCAATAAATTTAATCTAATTTTACGTAAAATAGTTTGATTAATATATATTATTAAACAAATCTTGCAAATTAATGCGCGTAAATTATTGTGTGACCTTTTTGCACTAAAAAAATAACATATTTGGGGTATTAAAAAACTTAATAGGCAATAAAAAAATTTCTTATATCAAACTTTTTACGACTTGAGTGCTGATCAGTCACAAGTATCGAGTAGTTTAAAATAATGAAAGAAAAAGGTGGGGTCAGTGATGTTAATTTTGAAATATTTGTCAAAATATGTTATTTTCAGGCAAAAAATGGTGTAAATTTGACCTTGACTTCTTTAATATATTTTCACTTTTTGGAAAAGTTTGTTGAGGGAAGGTGTAAAACTAAGTCTAAAAATATAAATTAAGACCTATATTAAATATTTTTAGCAATATCAAAACGGAAAATATTCTCCGAGTAAAATTATGTGAGGTTAAATTTCCATTACATTAAATTTTATAAATGTGCAGATTTGCAGAATTTTCTGCTAAATATCCTTCCACCAAAAGAAATAGTCCCTCATAAATCTTGCTTCTTTGTAGATTTTTGAGCAATTTTTTCATTGAATGTTAAAAAATTTACATTGTTGAATTTAAATATGTTATAAAAATTGAATTTTTAAAAGTAGTTTTGAAGTAAAAGCTTCTGCGTGAACTTTTCTAAAAAGCTGACGAGTGACTTACCTTAAATTGAATTTAATACATTTAAAATTGGATTTTGTACATGTTTAACTTTAAACATCAACTTCATATTATATGAAACCAATTATGTAAGTCTATAATCCGTGGTTCTTCTGACTCTAATTTCCACTTTTATATTGTAAATATAAAAATAAAAAATGGGGTTAGAGTCAGAGAAATCTTCCTGCACAAGTCAACTCGTAATATAAAAACTAGGGCTGTGACGATATATCAAAAGATATCGATAATATTGATTCTGTGTGAGGACGATACACATATTGATACATTTAAAGAAATAATCATCACAAAAAAATTCTGATGTCTGCTTTTCTTTGTTTATTTAATATTTGGGATTTTATAATAATATGCAAAATAAATATTTAAGCTAAATATAAATGTAGATATTAAATAATAATTAACAACACTTGAGTAAAATGTACATTTTTTTTACAATAACATATAAACAACTATTTTGAATAAATTATTCTAAATCTTATTTGCAAAGAAATATTTTGTTTATTTCAATGCCAAAAAAGATTTAATAACCCAATTAAACATATCATTTTGGCTTGAATATTGTGATACGTATCGATGTAGAAAAAGTTGTATCGTCCCAGCCCTATTAAAAACGGGGGCTTATAAGAATTCTGAGGAATCTTCCTGCACACGAATGTGACGGTATAATATAAAAATGAAGGTTAGAGTCGGAGAAATCTTTTCGCACAAATCATATTACTAAATAAAAGCGGGGGTTAGAGTAGGAGGAATCTCGGATTAGTAAGTCTACAATCTGTAAAACTTACACCAAACTCCAAAGAAAGTGAAAGTAGTCATCAGCACATTGATTAAGGGTTAAAACACCTTAGTAAATACTAATTTTTCAAAGAAAGTTTAACCTTATGGAAATATATTGAACTTAGATGTAAGGTTCCTTGATTATCCATATGAAAAATAAACTTAAAATAGACGTTGAGATGTTGTACACAGCTGGTAAAAGTATAAGTTTTTACCTTGTTACAGCTTTAGTCAACAATGGTTTGGTATGCAGAGCCTTGAGGTAGGCAGCGAGCGCCTTCTCCAGTGGATTCTGGTCTCCTTTGTCTTTACTTAGGCTCATTTTAATTCCTTTCGATGTCTGTGTAAAAATTACTCGAGTTATCAAAGATCCTCCTTTTGCTCATTCCCGTTTCTGACCTCTCATGGGCGCAGACATGTTACATCTCGGAAAATCTCGCGATTTACTTCGTTCGGAATTCCTCTTGAATTATCATTGATTCATGAATGAAAAACTAAGAATGTTCCGTATTAATTTATTTGGGCAGCCATTGCAATAAAAACTGTCTTCTGGACGAGGATGAAAATCACGTATTTTGTCCATGTTTGCTCGTCTTCGCTGGGAAATCAGACATGTTTGCCATCATAATCCTCGTCTTTACAACAGGGATAGGTTCAGGTTGGTATAGACTCTCAGCTGTTCACAGAAAAGCATATTGTAACTAACCAGTCAGGGGTGGTACTGAAATCAGTCATTTTTGAAAATGATGATTTTCAGTCATTAAATTGATTTTTAATAATGATGGAAATTCATCTTTTTTTAGTAAAATGATGAAAAACAGTCATTTCTATTTTGAAATTTATTTTAGAAATAGAGTTATCTCTGATATTAAGAATGACTGTTTTTCATCATTTTTTATCAAATTGTTAGGTCTGGGCGCACTTAATTATCTCATTAGTTTTACAGGGCGCACTAAATTATTTTGGTTTCAATTACTTGTCAAGATGTTTCTCTACACAAGGGTCTATGGCAGGATAGTGTACTATATCTAATTACTGTAGTAAATGGGATGGGAAAATTGACTTGAGAATGGAAATATGATGAAAAGACGTCATATTTACAAAAATCAGAAAATTGTGTACATTATATACTTAGAAGAAATGACCATTATCAATCATTTTCAAAAATGACTGATTTCAGTACCACCCCTGACTGCTAACAGTAACACAATGTCAAGATACCAGGATACTCATCAATCTGTGTAAATTTGTCTTTTTTCTGTGTTTGATATTGGGGAAAATGTTGTTGTAAATATTAAGAATAATCGCTGTTTTCTTTTATTTACGTGGGCTTGTTTGTAAATAAAAAAATTGTCTTCATGATATGAATCATATTAAAAAAGACAACCCATTCATCAAAATACACTAAAATTATTCAACCAACTATATTTAATAGTTTACGCTGTATTTTATTAATTCATGCATTGAACAAAGACCTATACAACCTATACAACAACCACAATTTATTAAGAAGGTTCAGATTTTGTATCAACATGACAGGGGATCTGATACATTGACAGTTCACCTGATCATTGATGGGGCAAACACAGCTGTGTATTCAATATTGGAAAGCCTACATATTCAATTTTAACTTAGATCCATCTCTTCAAACCAGACGCGGATCCAGGATTAATTTTGTGTTAGAGCGGGCACAATATTTTTGGCAAAACTGCCTCAGCTCAGCTTCTGCTGTGTTCCAGTCCACAGCAAATCAAAAATGTCCATTTGGGGACTTGGGGGTATATAAAGCCCACTAATCAAGCTCCTGAGAAAGAAACAGTAATTTAGTGGACCTGATTTTAGCACATAAATGACTGTTATATCAATGTATGACAATGAAAACTGTGTATGATTTTTGGGGTTTCAGAGGGGGTTTGGGAGGGGCACCTGCCGGGAGCACCCCTTCTGAGTTTACTCCTGCAAACTGCTTGTGATATATGATAGGTCAAGAGAGAGATGTCACAGCTCAGCAAAGGACATGCAATGGGGTTTAATTTTCATTGCATGGACTCTAAATACTAAAGCACTTATGATCCATTTCAGTAGTAAGTTCTTGCTATCTCTGGGTCATTCAGTTGATTGATTAATGTCTGAAGGACTAGTACATTCAGATTTACTTCAATGCAATAGAATACACTAGAGTTCAAGGTTGGGCAATGTTACCATCATTCCAATACAGTGCATTACAAATGAGAAAAGCTTTGCTTTAAGAGACATTTGTGTAGATTGTTCTGGTGATGAAAAGGTGCAACATGATTTTTTTTTGTGCATGTGGAATGTGAAGAACTATTCAGTATATTGTCAAAATTTGAAAATGGAATAAGTCTTTAATTTTGAAGAATCTCAGATAGTGAAGGTTCACGCAGATAAAGAGGGACATGTAGTTCAAGTTTATAAGCAAGCACGTTTTATGGTTCAGGTAACAATGCTTAATCAAAGCAGAACACAGATGATTATTTATTTGCTCTTACTTGAGAAATTTGTTTCTTGAATGCAGCATTTGAATTTACTGGCTTCAGAAGTTCACATTTTCCATCAGATACTCATCAGCGTTAATTCAGATTTGAGGATATAAGAATGGTTATTTTTTATAGTTAGTAAATCCATAGAATATCAATCATTTATGATGCATTTGTAATAATGATGTCTAGTAATTTTGAATTTGGGTCAGGTCACCTGACGTAATTTGTTGTACTTGAGTTTTTAATGTATATCAATTGCTATTAGGGCTGTGCTAATCAATATACCCATATGTATACAGTGAGTCCGTCAGGGACACTCAAAGAAATTACACCACATCACTAATACTAAACAAAATCTGTACTGTTTGCCATTGCTTCACAATATATATAATATTTAAAAAGCTGTTTCATTGTGTTCTGATAATTTTATGATATATATTATTAATGTATTAACATGATGAAATTATCTACAATTATTTATCCTTCCTTAATGTAACAGTGAGCTCTTCATTTAAGAAAAGAAACATTCAAATTATATAAAAAATCATCTTTGCTACCCAAGGGATTTCGATCCACTATGCTCCTCATTATATGGAGAGGGGAGTGTACTGCAAACCCTTGGTCAGTGGAGATGATTAAAAAATAATATGAAAGATAAAATATCATGGAACATCATGATACAGTCGCAGTGTTTCATGATATATATAGAGAATAATACATACCCTTTTCCATATCACATCCTGTATCAGCCCGAGACACCAATATCAGCCAGAGGGCCGAAGGCCCGAGGGCTGATATTGGTCGAGGGCTGATACAGGATGTGATGTGGAAAAGGGTATGTTTTATTATATTTATTACATACTTAGTAATAAAATACAGAACACATTTAGTTGAGAAGAAAATAAGTAAATAATCATGCATGGACTTCTTACATACATGTACATAGTCTAATGTCTCATACGATTTGGGTTTGTCTCTACTTCTATTTCTATGCACTTGATCCGTAATTTGAAAATATTCTATAGTATTACATGTATTTGTAAAGTAAGATTAACCTTATTTTCAAAAAGTTAAAATTAAGAGAATATGAACCCACCAAAAATTGTGTATGATCACAATTACTGTTATTGTGGTTTAATTTACTAAGGGTGTGATATTGACGTCACAATATCCGTATCAGCCCTGCAGGGCTGATATGGATTTGCAGGGCTGATACGGATATCAGCCCCGCAAATCCATATCAGCCCTACAGGGTTGATACGGTGTAAAAATTACTCGAGTTATCAAAGATCCTCCTTTTGCTCATTCCCGTTTCTGACCTCTCATGGGCGCAGACATGTTACATCTCGGAAAATCTCGCGATTTACTTCGTTCGGAATTCCTCTTGAATTATCATTGATTCATGAATGAAAAACTAAGAATGTTCCGTATTAATTTATTTGGGCAGCCATTGCAATAAAAATTGTCTTCTGGACGAGGATGAAAATCACGTATTTTGTCCATGTTTGCTCGTCTTCGCTGGGAAATCAGACATGTTTGCCATCATAATCCTCGTCTTTACAACAGGGATAGGTTCAGGTTGGTATAGACTCTCAGCTGTTCACAGAAAAGCATATTGTAACTAACAGTAACACAATGTCAAGATACCAGGATACTCATCAATCTGTGTAAATTTGTCTTTTTTCTGTGTTTGATATTGGGGAAAATGTTGTTGTAAATATTAAGAATAATCGCTGTTTTCTTTTATTTACGTGGGCTTGTTTGTAAATAAAAAAATTGTCTTCATGATATGAATCATATTAAAAAAGACAACCCATTCATCAAAATACACTAAAATTATTCAACCAACTATATTTAATAGTTTACGCTGTATTTTATTAATTCATGCATTGAACAAAGACCTATACAACCTATACAACAACCACAATTTATTAAGAAGGTTCAGATTTTGTATCAACATGACAGGGGATCTGATACATTGACAGTTCACCTGATCATTGATGGGGCAAACACAGCTGTGTATTCAATATTGGAAAGCCTACATATTCAATTTTAACTTAGATCCATCTCTTCAAACCAGACGCGGATCCAGGATTAATTTTGTGTTAGAGCGGGCACAATATTTTTGGCAAAACTGCCTCAGCTCAGCTTCTGCTGTGTTCCAGTCCACAGCAAATCAAAAATGTCCATTTGGGGACTTGGGGGTATATAAAGCCCACTAATCAAGCTCCTGAGAAAGAAACAGTAATTTAGTGGACCTGATTTTAGCACATAAATGACTGTTATATCAATGTATGACAATGAAAACTGTGTATGATTTTTGGGGTTTCAGAGGGGGTTTGGGAGGGGCACCTGCCGGGAGCACCCCTTCTGAGTTTACTCCTGCAAACTGCTTGTGATATATGATAGGTCAAGAGAGAGATGTCACAGCTCAGCAAAGGACATGCAATGGGGTTTAATTTTCATTGCATGGACTCTAAATACTAAAGCACTTATGATCCATTTCAGTAGTAAGTTCTTGCTATCTCTGGGTCATTCAGTTGATTGATTAATGTCTGAAGGACTAGTACATTCAGACTGACTTCAATGCAATAGAATACACTAGAGTTGAAGGTTGGGCAATGTTACCATCATTCCAATACAGTGCATTACAAATGAGAAGAGCTTTGCTTTAAGAAACATTTGTGTAGATTGTTCTGGTGATGAAAAGGTGCAACATGATTTTTTTTTTTTTTTTGTGCATGTGGAATGTGAAGAACTATTCAGTATATTGTCAAAATTTGAAAATGGAATAAGTCTTTAATTTTGAAGAATCTCAGATAGTGAAGGTTCACGCAGATAAAGAGGGACATGTAGTTCAAGTTTATAAGCAAGCACGTTTTATGGTTCAGGTAACAATGCTTAATCAAAGCAGAACACAGATGATTATTTATTTGCTCTTACTTGAGAAATTTGTTTCTTGAATGCAGCATTTGAATTTACTGGCTTCAGAAGTTCACATTTTCCATCAGATACTCATCAGCGTTAATTCAGATTTGAGGATATAAGAATGGTTATTTTTTATAGTTAGTAAATCCATAGAATATCAATCATTTATGATGCATTTGTAATAATGATGTCTAGTAATTTTGAATTTGGGTCAGGTCACCTGACGTAATTTGTTGTACTTGAGTTTTTAATGTATATCAATTGCTATTAGGGCTGTGCTAATCAATATACCCATATGTATACAGTGAGTCCGTCAGGGACACTCAAAGAAATTACACCACATCACTAATACTAAACAAAATCTGTACTGTTTGCCATTGCTTCACAATATATATAATATTTAAAAAGCTGTTTCATTGTGTTCTGATAATTTTATGATATATATTATTAATGTATTAACATGATGAAATTATCTACAATTATTTATCCTTCCTTAATGTAACAGTGAGCTCTTCATTTAAGAAAAGAAACATTCAAATTATATAAAAAATCATCTTTGCTACCCAAGGGATTTCGATCCACTATGCTCCTCATTATATGGAGAGGGGAGTGTACTGCAAACCCTTGGTCAGTGGAGATGATTAAAAAATAATATGAAAGATAAAATATCATGGAACATCATGATACAGTCGCAGTGTTTCATGATATATATAGAGAATAATACATACCCTTTTCCATATCACATCCTGTATCAGCCCGAGACACCAATATCAGCCAGAGGGCCGAAGGCCCGAGGGCTGATATTGGTCGAGGGCTGATACAGGATGTGATGTGGAAAAGGGTATGTTTTATTATATTTATTACATACTTAGTAATAAAATACAGAACACATTTAGTTGAGAAGAAAATAAGTAAATAATCATGCATGGACTTCTTACATACATGTACATAGTCTAATGTCTCATACGATTTGGGTTTGTCTCTACTTCTATTTCTATGCACTTGATCCGTAATTTGAAAATATTCTATAGTATTACATGTATTTGTAAATTAAGATTAACCTTATTTTCAAAAAGTTAAAATTAAGAGAATATGAACCCACCAAAAATTGTGTATGATCACAATTACTGTTATTGTGGTTTAATTTACTAAGGGTGTGATATTGACGTCACAATAGCCGTATCAGCCCTGCAGGGCTGATATGGATTTGCAGGGCTGATACGGATATCAGCCCCGCAAATCCATATCAGCCCTACAGGGTTGATACGGCTATTGTGACGTCAGCCATATCGCATATGCAAAAAACCTGTATTTATTACTAAGTGTGTAATAAATCATGATATTAAAGTTGTAGATGTATTGTTATACTCCCCTTTGTTCTTTATTATACATGGATTAACAATCAGCAAGTCCCACAAACTAGAGGACAACAACCAGGGCCTGTGGCGTTTTTATCACCTCACTAGACCACTAAGTCCCACATTCCTTCTCATAATACACTGGTGCTTCATGTAACCTTGTCCAATGTTGGCATATGAAGTCCAGTGTTCAAGTGCTTCTGATAAAAAAATATTTAGATAACTAAAACAAAGGCATGTGTTAAGTAATAGAACTTCAAGAGGTTACTGGAAAATTCAAAATGAAATTCATAACTCTGGAATCTGCACATGTTCTGTATTTCTTGCCTTTTATGGGCAATTTTTGATGTAGCAGTTTGTATTACGGGACAGATAAAAACTTGTTTATTTCAAACTAATTTGATGTTTGAAGAAATAATACGAGACAAATATGATTTGAAAATGTGTATATTGAGTGTTTAAAGGTTAATATTTACATTAATTGAAAAAATAGCCCATCAATCATTCTAGTACCGTAACAAATGTTAACCAAACTCTTTGTAAACTAAATTGCTTGAAATGTCATTATGCAAATCTTAAATCCCATCAGTTTCATATTTAAGATAAACTGCATAATGAAATTTTATCATGTAAAATATTTATCATTAGTTTAGAATTCTAATTTCATGTCAAATCAATGGGTCTTTTATTCTCTTACGCTGACAAATTAAATTATTTCACGGGTAACAGTTGCTGCCGAGTTTTACATTAAAAAGTTAATTTTCTCCCTTTAATAGAAGGCCAATTATTGGTTTAAAGTTTGAGATGACCTGATAAGATTATGGTTGAGTAACATGTTTGAGATAATTAACTCCTGTCTTAGCAAGCTTGGGTTCTGTATCTTAGTTATTTGACCAGAAAGATACCAAACAAAGGACTCAGTTACCCATCTACAGGAATTCGGCCATTAACTGTGTACTGTGTCCAAGATTGCCCAGCCCAGATCTACTAAGTCCCCCAAACGGAGAGGGATAAAGACTTTAGGCCAACTTTTCACTGATCCAAGATTTTTATCACAGGATAACAAATTGGAATTGTGACCACTTAATATATTTTTATTAAGAAGCAAATATAATGAAGTCTATTTATCTTTAGCTTGAAAAATTAAGTTACAGTCGCAGATTAAAGGGACACATCTCTTTTGTGAAAATAAGAAAAAGAGAACAAAAGATCTAGACAGAGTGGTTAAGAAATGAAGTTATAGAATGGACATATTAGGCAAGTGTTTTAGGGAAAAGAGACAATGAGGTGTACTGTAAAGAGATGGAAGAGATGAGCCACATTGTGTAATCCCCTGACTGTCTGATCTTATCTGTGTTGTTCTTTGAAGGAGACTCTATTGTTGATACAGACATTTAAATTAGAAATACTTTTGAACTAGCCTCTGGAACTGTTTGCTTCTTCATAAAAGGAAGATTAGGTGGAGTTGTTGAGAAGATTGATTGAAAAAAATTCTGTCAGCAGAAAGTGTTTGTATAGTTTAGTAGACGGAAATTTACGAAAATGTCATTAATTCGTAAGTAAAACTTGTACACTGTCGTAAGGTTTAATTAAAATATCACTTTAAATTGTACTTATTAATTTTGTAATTTTTGTTATTACTTGTACTGAATTTTATATCTGATCAGGGTTGAGGCAACTCTATGATTTTTGAAATTTTGATGAAGGAAACTTTGGGAAACAACTTTAGTTTGTTAAATGGTAATAAAAATGAGTCAACGGTAGATGTATAGGTCATTCCACTATGACTATATTTTTATTAACCTCTAACAGCAGTCATTGAACAGGTTATGATAAAAAGAGCCATCACAATTAAGTTTTAGTTTATAATTTTACAAAGAGTGTTTTAATAGGTCATTTCAGTTTGTTGATCGTATGGCACTTGAAGAATTGAAAGTGTAAGGTTAGTTGAACTCTTGCTGAAATGGACATTCATCATATACCTGATGAATTATTTATAGATTGGGTCTAGGCTAGGAGGTTATAGTTGTTTTAGAAAGAGTGTTTAATCATTAAACAAGAAAGAAAATGAATTAAGGGATTTTGACAGCTAGTAGTCAGTGATTATTTCCTATCAACTTAATCTTTAATATTTAACAAATTTGTTAGCCAAAATTTCACAGATCTATTTTATGCCTACTTTTATTATTATTGGTTTTATTTATGTTTGGGAGTTAAATAATAGAAAACATTGTACAGTTGTATATACAAAAAACAGATGGTGTATTTAGTTAGGTCTATATTAAAATGCACAATGTTAAGGTGGAAATATGAAAAGGAAAATGAAAAAGAAAAAAAATCAAGAACCAAAATAGAGCCTTATTCATTTACAAACTTTCCCAAGTTTGATGGAATGGATTAAATTCTTTTTTCATCTATGGACCCAGGCTAAATATATAGGAAAAAGATTTTTCTCTCTCCATATTACTGAAGGGTGGTGTTAGTCATGTTGATTTGAAGCATTCCTTTTGTGGATTTCGGTGTGGTTTGGACCATAAAGGGAGTCAGAATTTCTGTGGGATATATAAAAGCCTCATATTGAAAATCTGAGAAAGAAAGCATTTCTACAATTAATTGGGCAAGCTTTGTGGCTCATGGCCTTTGGTCCTCTATTGCTTAGAATTTCTCTGCACTGCTTTATCTTTCTGTATAGGAATTGGGTGAATATTGGGATAAGATACCCTGTGCACTGTCACAATTGATTGATGCTCTTATTTAACTATATTTAACTTGTTTTTCAGCCATATCTGAACTTAAATGCACAGACTACGCTGGAAAAGAAATTCTTAATGGTCAAGTCTATCAACCTAAAAGTGACCCCTGCTACCAGTGCACATGTAGTAATGGGTTTGCCACCATGTGCAAGTCTGTGTCCTGCATTCCCCCCACTGACTGCCGTAACCCTGTCATGATAGAGGGCACCTGCTGTAAATTCAGTTGTGATGAGGATAACGGTGGGGGACATGGTCACTTCCCTACTGTCAACTCCACTGACCCTACCAGGAAAAACAATGATAATGGTTAGTTTTTACATCCCCCTTGAATCATGAAAAAAAATCTTTTGAATTTTGTTTTTAGGTCATCTGAGTAAACTCAGGTGACCCATTGCTATCTGTTTTCGTCCGTCGTCGTGTGTCGTACATCGTTCGTAAACTTTTGAACATTTTAGATTCTTCTCTGGAACCACTGAGCCAATTTCAACCAAATTTGGTATACAGCATCTATGGGTGAAGGGGAACAAAAATTGTGAATTTCATGGTCCCTGCCCCCCTGGGGCCTGAGGGGTGCAGGGGTTCAAAATTTTTTTTGTCATGGTCAAGTCCAGGACTTGAGGAGTAAATTTTAGGGAAGTCCGAGGAAGAAATTTCAGAGTCCATATTTACCTATACATCATTGAATTTATGTAACTTATAATTTATTTTCATTTGTTGCATTGAATGAATAAAGACTATATGTATTAATATATGTTTTATTTTTCCTCGATAAACTGTCATATAGTCATACATGAGTATTTCAACACAATACCAGACTGATAGATTACTTGTACATTACAATAACTTTTACAAATACTCACTACTGAATAAACCACCTGTTACAATAAACAGAAATTAGAATGTGCTGTAAGTCACAGCTAAAACCGAAATTTAACAAACTCATTGCCGTTTGTCATATAGGAGGAAACATGAGGAATTGCGTAAAAGCAAGAGTCTAACCGCAACGGAAAATAAAAAGACGGATTGTATTTTCGAAACGTTCGTAATGTTTTATGGGTATTTTAACGCCCACAAACCCACATTTTTACTTCATACATTTGAGAATTTGCTTTATTTTTAGCTTTACGATCATTTTTTTAACTTATAAAAAAAAGATAAACAAGAAACATAGCCAAGTCCCAGGACTTTGTCGAATTCTAAATGCCGAGTCCGGATCCGGAATTTGTTAGTCCGGGACGTCGGGCTTGAGGATTTTTGAACCCCTGGGGTGGGGCCAAAACCACTAAAATTAGTGAAATCTTTAAAAATCTTCTTCTTTACTCCTGGACATCAAGCAGTCAAACTGTTGGCATGATTGTAATCAGCATTAAGTCCTCTACCAAAATTGTGAAATTCATGGCCCCTGGGTCAGGGGTTCTGGTGTTAGGTTGGGGCTATATAGATCATATAGTAAAAGTGCATTATTTCTTTGAAAATCTTTTCCTCTGCTTCTGGGTGTTAAACAAACTAACCAAGTACATAGTTATGATGACCAAGAGTGCCTCTTCGAAAATTGTGAATTTCATGGCCCCTGGGTCAGGGGTTCTAGTGTTAGGGTGGGGCTCTATTGATTATATACTAGTAAAGATACATAAATTCTTTGAAAATCTTCTCTGCTCCTGGGCATTAAACAAAATAACCAAGTACATAGTTATGATGAGCAAGAGTGCCTCTTCAAAAATTATGAATTTCATGGCCCCTGGGTCAGGGTTTCTGGTGTTAAGGCGGGGCTCTATTGATTATATAGTGAAAATACATTAATTCTTTAAAAATCTTCTTTACTCCCGGGTATTCAACAAACTAACTTAGAATATAGTTATGATGAGCAAGAGTGCTTCTTCCAAAATTGTGAATTTTTTTTTACCCCTGGGTTGGGGGTTGTGGTGTTAGGGCGGGGCTCTTTTGATCATATAGTGAAAATGCATTAATTCCTTCAAAAATCATTCTCCTCTGCTGCTGGGTATTAAATAAGTTAATCTACTAAGTAGCTATTATTTACAAGAGTGCCTCAACCATATTTATGAATTGGATAGCCCCTGGGTCAGGGGTTTTGTTGAAAGGGGTGAGTGGGTTGATTATATAGTGAAAATACATTAATTCTTTAAAAATCTTCTTCTTTGCTCTTGGGTATTAAATAAACTAACTAAGTATATAGCTATGATGAACAAGAGTGTTTCTTCCAAAATTGTGAATTTTATGGCCCCTGGGTTGGGGTTTCTGGTGTTGGGGGGGGCCTCTATTGATTATATATTGAAAATACGTTGATTCTTTGAAAATCTTCTTCATTACTCCTGGGTATTATGGGTATTAAACCAAGGAACTATGAACATAGTTATGATTAGGAAGGATGCCTCTTCCAAAATTGTCAAATTCATGGCCCCCTGGGTCAGGTGTTCTGGTGTTAGGGCAGGGATCTAAATGTCTCTAATGATTATATAGTGAAAATGCATGAATTTTTTGAAAATATTTTTCTTTGCTCCTGGGTATTTTGCCAATGATCTAAGTATATATTTTTTTGATGAAGAAAGGTGCATCTAGCAAAATGGTTAATTTCATGCCCCCTGGGTCAGGGGTGGGTGGTTACATAGTCTGAAAATAAATTAATGCTTTGAAATCTGCTCTTTGGTATTAATAAATCATTCATGATGAAATGAAATTTATGATAAAATTTCCAAAAATTTTGAAATATGTGGTTCCTGTGGGGTCGGGTGCACAACTGGTTACAAAGTGGAAATGCATTTTCTCTTTGTTACTCTGATCTACCTCTGGGTATAAAGTAACTAGAGTAAGCATGCTAAGTGTATTATTATGATAAGCAACGGTGCCTCTTTCAAAATTGTGAATTTCATGGCCTCTGGTTTTAAAACACAAACCAAATTCCATTGTTTGAAAGTTGTTACATGATACTCAGGTGACCTATAAGGCCTGTGGGCCTCTTGTTTAATTAACTTACTCTTTAATGTCAAAGTACCTGCATGACATATATGGAATGTATGGGGCAAGTTGAATTTTCAAACTTGTTAATTGGAAAAAAAAAACTATTAAGTTAAAAAGTTAAGTAATTTTATTGCATTTCATTTAACTGTGCTCATCATGTGACTCAATATTACAGTGAATAGTGACAACATGACGACCCTGGGTCTTAGATTAGTGGCTAGCACCATCACCTCGTTTCTGGTCCTCGCTCTTCTTCTCTTCATGGGTCATCGCCTCAGACAACGAAGACTTCTTCAGGCCATGCGTAGTAAGTATTGGGTTTTCAATGCTCTGTGTTCTTGGAGCAACAAAGATTTTCAGATGCTCATTCCAAATTCAATTTTAATGGCCCATCATGGAGAGGAGAGGAAATCTCTACCTGTCTGAAATATATAACTTACAAAATGCTTGCTGAAGTTACATCATTGTTTAATGCTTTTGATATCTTTTTCAGGATACAGAGACAGTAGACGAAGAGAAAGGCTTGATGAAGGAGACATTGACAGCTTTTCACCAGAATTCTTTGGTTTTGAATGTCCCTCTTATGATGATCCACCCCCTCCATACACCCCTCCAAAGCCCCCTGATCAAGAGTTCCCAAGGGAAGCCCCTCCTCCGTATGAAGCAGTAGAAAGTTCAAACAATAATAACAATGCATCTTCACCATGCCCTAATAACAACAACAACATAGGGTGTCAAACCTCACCACATACAGTGCAAGGTACTGAAACTTCATCAAGTACCAGAGGAGCAGAACATATACCCACTCTGTCACATTCTTGCAATCAAATTGTTCAAAGACATCATTCTCTACCAGGGTATTCAGAGCACGACCCAGAGTCTTCCCATTCTAGGAGTTGTGAAAATCAAAGCGACAGGCATGGGAACTTTAGATTTTCTCTGCCTTGGCTTAGACAAACCAGACAAACACAAAGGGGTACTCAGACACTGCCAACATACAACAGGCACACTGATCAAGTAAACTTTTCTCCTGATTTGTTAGAGCTGTGGGAGGATACTTCTACCGCCACCACCACTTCAGAGATTCAAGACCGGTCTAGACTGCCGCCAACTGGTGGCAGATATGTGCAACATGGTCATATCTCAGAACTAAGTGACACTGATGATCTGTCAACAGAGAGTGGTACTCAAACCGATCGGTATGTCCAAACTAGCCGCCACAGCTACGGTTGTCTGCCAGCAGTCTCCACCTTCAATGCTAACAGACCTCATCCACCTCTGCGGAGGGAGGGCAATGCAGGGCAGGATGTTTCTTCTTCTTTTGATGAAGTGAGCTTCCATGGGAGTGAGACAAGGAGTGTTGGTGTCTCCCATTCCTCTTATAATAATTCAGCCGAAGCCAGCAATGAACAGTGTGTTGGAGCTACAAACATCTTGGAAAATGATTCTGTTCTGGAAGCAGAAGACAATAGAAGGAAATTAGAACAAATTCATGACTCTCAAAATCTGAGAATTCTGAGGTTGTCTAAACTTTTACAGCAGTCTTCAGATTCTTCTGAATCTGCTTGTGGCCATTCATGCTTGAATAGTTATCAAAATATTCAAAAATCGCAGTCTACCCACTCTGGTTTGTCTGTCTGTTCGGAGACCGGTGAAAAGAAACTGTCTGTTGTGGAAGAGAGTGCCCTCAGTAACGATGTCCAGTATCCATGTTCTGGAAGAATGCCATCCACACTGACCAATGCAGACACTCCATCTTGTTGTGGAATCTCTGATAATTGTGGCTCAAGTGATTGTTCATCTGGTATAATGCCCTGTGATCACGGAAGGTGTTCATGTGAAAGTAGCGCAAGGTTCACTCCAATTTCTCAACCAAATCGTTCATTTTCACCACAAAGTGTGTCATCTTTTGAAAGAAACAATAATTCCGTACTAAATTCTTCCACTGATTCTAGTAACAAAGACAGCAGAAGAACAGAAACAGTGTCAAAGAAACAGAAAAGACAGTCAACTCAGTCCAAGTATTACAATGATCAAAGCAATGGAAATTACAACAGGAACGGAAGATCCTCTTCTGCTCCTCCTAGACAGTTATCTTTTATTGATGAGCTAAAAAGTAGAAATAGAAATATTTCTGAAACCTCTCCTGGGCCTACAGCCCCTGACTCTAATGGTTGTTCCACAAGTGCTCCCACATGCAATGATAGTTCAGAAATCTGTGATAGTCCCTGGCATTCAGCTTCCGTAAAGAGAAACAACAGCTCTGTCTCTCATAAGTCGTCCTCCCAAAGTAGCAGCCATAGCAGCCACTCGGGGGATGGCCTGCTCATCTGTCCGCGCAAGAAAAAATCTCGCTCAGCCAAGCGGAGTCGAAGTAAAAAGACTTCTGATAAAAGAAAATCTGTGCAGAACACTGAAACTGAAAACTCAGAAAACAAACAGTGTAGTCTGGTCTAAGCGTGGCCATTTTATTATGAGTCAGTTATAAGTTGTCAAATTATTGCAGTTGTTACTATTAAATAGTTGTTAAATATAAGTTTCTTAAACCATGAAAAACAAAGTGCTGTATATGTAACAGTTTACCAAAGTAGCCATTTTGTTTGCTTTTTATTTTATCATATATGTATAACATAGATTATAAGTTTTATTCTTTGACTAAAATTATTATTGCTTTTAGTTTTTTTTTTGCATATCTTTGTTCACCGTTTTAATTTAAAGTACCTAATCAAGATGGAATTAATACCCTTTTATATATCACAAAATACAAATTGTTCCAAGACTTCTGCACCGAAACTGCCAAGTTGTTTATTGTTTGACTTGCTAAGAGGTTTAGAATCTGTGCAGTTACATTCACTGATTTTTTTTTCTTTTAGTTTTGAATTTGATGATTTTATGAAATAATGAATTACTTTTCAATTTAAAATCTTTTGTCCATTGAATGTATTTGTGAGTGATAAAATTTGTTAGTGATGTAACACTTGGGGTAAAAAGTTACATGTTACAATTTACATGTATCACTGCATTCTACAATTTACCTGTATCATTAAATGTTACAATTTACATGTATCATGTTTATGAAGTAACATGTTGATTTATTGATAGAAAACATTATCAATATACATATACTGTAAACCAACTTTTACATGGGTGTGAATTTACAAAGTTCGCGATTAATCGCGAATATTTACATGTGCGAACCAGTCCTTAAAGTCTCTGTGTTTAAGAACAACAGATTAAAAAAAGCTTAATCGCAAAAATTAATCATCGCGAATAAATTTGTCACAAACAAAAGTTGGTTTACAGTACATGTAATGACATGTATAACATGTTCTTTGAACAAACCATTGATTTAAGAATATGATTTTAGCATACTGTTTTGACTTATGGAGTCTCAGTTTATCAAATTAACCTTTGTTGAAGGTGAATTTTGTGTCTATTGGTTTTTCTTTTCCTTTTTTGTAATATTTATACTGCCAAAAGACTTGTTTATGTAAATTTGTATCCACGTAATAGACTAATTTTACTCTAGATCTGTTTAAAACCACTTTTTTTTCTCCTTTCACTTGCTCATCTGGTATGTGTATATGTTGCCATGTGCATATGTGTGTAGATGTAGTTTCCTGTGCCATATTGTCACATATCACATCTGTGTGTACTCTAGTTAGTAGTGTATCTTAATGAAATAGGAAAACAGTATTCTTATCTGTTTGTCTTTAACGATAAATAAGAAATGCAATTTTAAAGCAATTGGTAAGATTTTTTCAGCAGTTTGAACTTAATGTGAAGCAATTATATATCAGCAAGAATTCTGCAGATGAATGAAACTTAAATTTTTTTCATTTATTATATGTCTTTCAATTTTTTTGTGAAAAATAATTCAAGAAGAAAATTTAATGTGATATTTGGTAAACATTTAAAGGAAATAAATACTTTTAAAGTGATTATATTGTCTTTTCTTGTCATATTGTATAGAAGTGTACATGTTATTGTATATGCATGAAAAATAATTCTAACATTTACAAATTTTTATTTCGAACAGTTAGACATAAATAACATTTAAGTCTACATTTCCACATTCCAATGACCAATGAAGGAATCTTGAAAAGGCACAAAGCCACCCCCACCCTCTAAACATTGATTTATTGAATCGTGTATATATTTTAGGCACAAAAGGGGACCTCCCTTTAATCCGCCAGTGCATTCCATTCCATTCACATTGAAGTAGTTTTCATAGATAAAACAGTATGATGAAAGATTACATCCCTTTGGATTTTACTGTACTTTCTGTCTGTAGTAAGCTTCCCAATGGGTAAAAATACTGGTATATGTAAGGATAATTATATTTTATCATGAACTACATCTCTTATTTTTTACCAATGGAAATAGGGGAAATTACAATTTTAAAAAAAGTAGGAATAGTCTACCATTTATTTATTCGTTATTCCTTTATTTGTACAGTTACTGTAATACAATAAAGAAAATGGGGTGAATAAGGAGGGCGAAATACCTATACTTGTAGTGTGACAAATATGAAGTGAACAAATAAATTTCAGTTATACATTTATCAAAATTTTCTTTGATGTTTCATCTCTATCTTAAAATGTAAAATCTCTACAATGTACAAAAATCTCATAAAGCATTGAGGTCGAAAGCAATTGAAAGTGGGGAGGGGGGGTAAGTGAAAGAGCAAAAAATTTCAAACCTACAAAAATAACTTGACATGCAAAAAAAAAGGGGGGGGGGGTGAACACGAAAATCCTATTTCATGTGGAAGGGGAGGGGGTTAGGTAGGATCGAACTTTCAGTACCAATTTTTATTAGCGTGCAAAATCTTAAGAATTTAAAACAAAAAGAATCTTTTTCTAATACACAAAGTTTTTCGATATTAGTGGTTAATTAATGGCTCTATTATTTGAAATTTGAGTTCATCCAAAAAGTTTGCATAAAATTAAAAAATATACATATTTTGGTTTCAATAACATAGAGCAGCTAATCCTTGAAAGTACACTTTTATTGCGAAACTTTCGCATACCTTTCCTGTAAATACTTGAAGTCAACAATTTAAGTCATATCACAAACATGATATTTATAAATGCCAGCATTCATCAAGTGCTGTGTAGCATATATAGTGGTTAGCATTTTAGTCTTAAGCCAATATGATGCTGCCGATTTTTATTGCTTGGGTTCGAACCCCAAGAATACCATATATTATTTTTTTTTAAGAAAACTTCCTTTTTTCCCCAAGATCTTTTTTTCTCTGAAAAATATGTTTATCATTTTATCATAAATTTCAATAAAACTAACTATTCCTAGAATACTTTATCACAAATTGAATACGTTTAAAAAAAAAAATCTCATGCTATAACTAGGCTTTCTTTGCGCCTTGTTGTTTGCATCCTTCTGGTATTATAAGTTCGGGGTCGGTATTCATTTATTGAAGCCATGAAAGTGCGCATGCGCAAGAAATTAAGCGCTGGGTTCAAGTTAAAAAAATATTGAAAGAAAGAAAAGATTTTCAACTATATACACCAATATCTACGTATATAATAGGTATATGTCTTGTAGTGTTTTGGGGTTTAAAGGCGTACTTAAAATAATGCTGATTAATGAAACATTTTCATTTATATATGGTGAAGAAAACATTGAAAACTGTTGAATGAATCTTGGGTGTCATATTGACATATTATTATCTGTTACCGTACCAGCTGTGTACGTCATGGAATCTTCTTAGGCTTGATTAATTGATTGGTTGCTTGTGGTGTTTGCCTCAATCGCTTTTTGGCAAAAGATCAGCATTTGTCATTTGGTCTGTTAAGAATAAGATGGAAAGTTGTAGGTATCATGAGCATGATTTGCCCATGGTAAAATTGGTCGTTTGACTGTAATGAGATACTACTCTTCTGCAGGAAAATTAATAACGTTTGTTGGAGTTCTTGTTGACAGATAATTAATGACGGTTTTTAAACTATTGCTTTTAATATTGAGTGCAGCAAGTCGACGCAAATCACCGCTCGCATACCAAGCTCAATAGACTAACGTTTACGAATGCAGGAAACTAGGGTTGAAATCTGCACATGGTTCCAAGAAATTTTTATCAGTCCACGTGAAAAAATTCCAAACTCCCAATAATCCTTAGCTATGCATAGCAATATGGTGGTTTAAACATAGCAACAACTTACTTGAAAAAATTACAAACAACGATTTAATGCAATTTTCATGCCACAAAAACTATTGTTTGCGTCCTAAGTCATAAGGACTTTTTATTTGACTTCATACTTCCATCACTTAAACGGCTCGAGTATTTCTGATTTTGTCGGAAACTTCTGAGAAGTTGGGAATCTTGATCCCGATGCCTGGGAAGTAATTTCTTTTTCTTTTTTTCTTCTCAATTTTCTTTTTTTTAGTGAACCGAGGATAGGCAGTACAAGTTTAATTGTGTATAGGTTTTTGATAGTACATAACTGCGCTCGCCCCAATAGTCACTCCGTAATACATATGTTAAAGTTTTAAGGTGTGACTTAACCACAGTTATATATCAAAAGCCTTTACACATCTTACGATATTGCACTCATGGCTATCTTCAGTTCGATAAAAAAAAATTGAAAGAAAAAAAAATGCAAGAAATCGGGAATGAGATTCTGAACTTCTCAGAATTTTCCGACAAAATTGGAAATACCCAAGCTGTTTAAGGACGTTCGATCCTGAGATTTTTGAGCGTATTTTGGTCAGGTCATTCATTTATAAAATTCTGCATCATTTTTAAGTTCTAACATTAAATTTGAATTCTACAGTGCAAATTTAACTATATTCAATGAAAAAAGACGCGATTAAATTCCGTTCAAGTAGAATTAAGCTAGGGACTGTATTTTGTGGCGGAAGGTTTTTTAGACGAAAATGATCAGTTTTTCCATTTTGAATTATAACAATACTGTTAATTTTGGATTCCTATTTTTCCATCCTGGTTGCACACAAAGCTGTTTTTTCCAGTGAAATGTGTTATGCTGGTTCTGAAATATCTATTTAATTATTTCTTATGAATTCTATCAACAAAGTGTGACAAATATAGTAAATATCTTCTGAAAATCCAGGAAAAAATTGAGCCAATTTTAACGTAAAATTGACACTTTTTTAGTAATATCTGAAAATTTACATCATATACCCCAACTTTTGATATTCTTTTCTAAATATTCAAGATAAATTTTACCTATTTGCTTAAAATCAGAAAAAGTTTAAGACTTTAAAATAAATTTCTTGTTTATTAAATTTTCAATGCCAGAAAAATCACTTTTTATTAGTGCAGAAAGGTCAAATAATTGATTATGCGAAGCAATTTGAAACTTTTTCTTAGTCACAATTTTTAAGTGTCTTTTTATAAACAGACTTAGAATTCATTTTGTTTCATACTTTAATTGGATAAAAAATATTGGAAGGAAAACGTCAAAAATTTAATGGTTAATTAAGACACAAATTTCAGTGCAAAAAGGTCATATTAAATGTACTGTAGTGCCAAAAGAAGCGTATTGACCTCCATTTTTTGATTTGAATTTTAATTAAGCTATGTATGAAGAAACTAAAAATATACTTGGCAAAAAAAGTTTAAGACTTTAAATATCAGGATCGAACGTCGTTAAGTGATGAAAGAATTATGTCAAGAAGTCCTATTAACTGAGGAAGCGAACCACAGTTTTGTGGCATGGAGATTGCATTAAATCATTGTGATTTTTTCTAGTAAGTTGTTGCTATGTATAGGCCACCATGTTGCTATGCACAGCAGAGGATTACTGGGAGTTTGGATTTTTTTCACATGGACTCATAAAAATTTCATGGAACAATGTGCAGATTTCAACACAAATTTCCTCTGTTCGTACTTTTGTCTATTGAGCTTGCAACGTGAGCGGTGCTTTGTGCTGCCACGCTGCACTCACTTTTATGTCATAGTTCACCAGAAGATATCATTTTGCCCTGCAAAAGATAAGTACCTCAGTTATCGTAAAAGGGTCTCAGTTATCATGAAAGGGTTAGGTACCATGGTTTTCACTATAATAGTGGTTAAACTGCTGTAAATCACTATTCACAAGAACTTTATTTTGGTTACTTACGCCAGTCGATGTGCTCACAAAAATTTCATTCTTGTGTAAATTAGTATTCCTAAAGATTGTCTAGAACAATAACAAGTCATGAAAACTTTGTTTGGCTAATTAATACAGCATATACAGTACAGAGCTATTGACTATCTTATGAAAATAAGCTGTCACGAAAATTGAGTGATCTAAAGTATTAACTAATAGCATTTGATTTTCCTCCCTTTACCATGTTTACATCTAAGAGTTTTTATATAATTATCTTATGTAAAGTCTACTTTGTAATATAACATGCTTCATTACTGACTATGCAGACAGTAGCATGTTTATCATCCCCTCAATCAAAACTCTTTCCAATTGCTGTGTATTGGGAAAAAGTTGACCTACTTTTTAAAAATGTTATCTTTCCTTATAACTTTTGACTGAGAAGAGGTGGGGGCTCCCATATTTGACATATACATTATCTGTGACGATATTAACAAGCATGCAATGGTTTTGTTGGTGTTTTCCCTTTATTTCAAAGTAAAGGGTTGGAGATCAGATGTAACAGGCTAGGGCATGAGAATTATGAACAAAAACTCTGTGGACCTTAGAACAAATTTTTATTTCAAAGTGTCAATTTTGTCAATTGAAGCAGTCAATTTGTCCGGTTGCCGGTTCTTAGGGAAAACACTGTTTTTTGACCCTTTTAACCTTTTTGTTTGACATAATTTAAAAAAAAATTAACATTGATGATTACTTTGAAATGGCATAAGATAAGGCATTCATGTTTGACACAATATTCTATAAATTATGGCATCCCATCCACTAAGACATCGAAAGGAGGTACATGTACCACAATTTTTTTTAATTTGCATATTGTATCTAAGTACAGATTGAATTGAGAAACATGTTTGTATACAGTATGTTAATTCTTTGTTTTAGGATGCTGTCATGAAGAGGAGGAGAAGATCTCTAAGAATCAGTCAGGATTTGGTATGGCTTTACAAAGATAATCTTGATAAAGTTACATTGTATTAAATTCTTTTAAACATGTATTTTAAATAAACAGTTTGGAAAAAAATTCTGTTTATTGTTAATGAAAGGTTCAATTAAACAAATGGACCCCTTCTGGTATACAGTCTTTCTGGTATAAGGTCTGGTATAAAATTGATTTTCAGTTGGGAGAGAGCCCCCTTTAACAGACCTGCATGCAACAGAAATGAAGTCTTGGAAATCATTGTACAAAGATCATCAATTTATTATCTTTATAACTAATACAAACAAGTCTGTAGAAGTAATAATCATTGAGGTTATTAAAGCAAGTTATATTTTACAGGAAACATGTGGAGAGACTTTTGGAAGTGTGTGGAAAGAACCATCACCTGAATCTTGTCGTCAGGCAGATTTGAAAGAAAAGAGACGAAGATCCAAAATATTAAATGCTGAGGAGTTGCTTCCCTTCAAAGTCACAGAAACGCAATACAGAGCTGAAGTTGAACATCTAGACTTTCTTAATGTGGATATCCAGACAACTCCGCTGTCGGAGGTAGAGAGAGCCAGATGCCCAGACAAAAGCATTGGTGATGAAGACAATCCCGGGATCACTCCCATCAACATTACAGAAGACGTGCTGAATCCCTCAACAGAGAAGATTTCTTTCATTGATGACACACCTAGGAGTAGCTCCACCTCAACTCCTCTGCCAAAACTTCACCCAGAAGTTTTTTCTACCCCTCTAGCCCCTCCACATTTATCAGACTCCTTGCCATATTCCCCTTCTCAACCCATACTAGGAAACATTTCTGAATCCCTTGGAAGCAGTTCTCTTGTAAGCCCTTGTTCCCCAGCCTCTGATGTGGAATTTTTCACTCCCATGTCTCACATGAAGTCTCACCCATCCCAAACTGACTTATCGTCAAGGAAGGCAAGTGGAACAAAGTTTCGACCCAAACAACTGGCTGCTGAATACTCTGTGGAAAAGATGAGTGGAAAGAAGAATGAATATAGACAAGGAGATTCTGCAGCAAATTTCGCTAATGTCTGTAAATCACTTGGAGAAAAATTGTTAATGCTAAAGAAGACCAGTTCTTCGGAGGAGAATACAACCCAGAGCTTGACTGGTATAGTGGAGGAAGATGTTGGATTTGAAAGAAAAGAAGAAAACAGCAAGATTGACCAATCAATTAAGAATTCTGCAAGTCCTGACATAACTGAAACACATTTAAAATTCACTGAATCTCCACAGAAAACCATGGATTCATGTGTAATGAGCCAGTCATGTGACAAGCTTAAGTTGCAGACTGAACAGAATGAAGAGCCATCGGAACATTTATTAGAAAACTGTGACAAAAGTGATGAAAAAAACATTCAAACAGCAGAAATGAGTAATTTGGATGTGAAACCATGTCTAACACCAGATTTACACGGTCTTCCTAAGGCATATTCAGCGTCACCTCAACACAGTCAGGATCAGATCAGTCAAATGGAAGAAAAAATAAAGACTTCACATAATAAAGCAGAAAATGTAGAGATGCAGGAAAAGACACAGCCACGTAAACGAGGAAGGCCAAGAAAATCATCAACAGGCTTGCCTACTTCTGGTGGATTAAAACAAGTTGTCTGTGAAATTTCAGAGGAAAAAATTAATAATCTGGTGAACATGACTAGTACGAAAGGAAACAGTAATGAAGCTAGTGCTGTGAACTTGTTGAACTTGGAAAATGTTCATGGATGTAATGAAATGCAAAATGAAAATATGAGTAATAACTTTGTGGATCAAAGTCAAGGTAATGAACTAGACAAAGAAAAAATAGTAAGCAATGAATCTGAGATGACAACTGATGATGCAGTGCTAAGGTATGGTAAATTTTCCACAGTACTGAAAAGGAGCAGAGGACGTCCCAGAAAGAAATCCTTGGACAGCAAGTCAGAAGATATTGGTGGAAATTCGGAAAATAATAGAGAATGCGATGTAAAGAAATGTGAAGGTGATCAGGAACAGGAGGAGCTGTTAGCCAGAGAAAAGAAATTGAGAAAAATGCGACGAAGATCTCTGAACGTATTCAAAGGTTCTGTGGAAATGCCATGTAGTACAGAACTGAGGGAAGATTCTGTTGCAGAGAATGACAGGGATTTCAGTGACCGTCAATTACAGCATGAGCCAAAAGTAGAAGAAAAGACGCAAAGTGAGTCACAAAGAAAAGCTCTGGAAAATTTTAAAGATTCTGTGGAAGAGTCGTGTATAGCAGACGTAGAAGATTCACAGACAGAAACAGGGAATATCGAGTGCCAGAATAATCATCAAAAGGAGGGGTTGAAGAGAAAAGAAAAGAAACCCAAAAAATCTTTGGAAACATTGAAAGACTCTACAGAAGAGCCATGTAAAGGAGACTTGGAAGACGATTCAATGAAAGAAAATGGAGATGTGGAGTTTCATCAACAAGAAGAGCTACTGGTTGCAGAAAGGAAGTCGAGAAGGTTACGCAGAAGATCTTTTGAAATCTACAAAGCGTACAAGGAAGAATCAAGTGAGATTGAGCTGAAAGAACCAAGCACTGAAGAAACCAAGGTTTTTGGAAATGTCCTGAAGGATTTAAATGGCACAACAGCTCCCACAAAAGCTCCCAGGAAAAGAAAGAAGTGTGACTCGGAGGAGGACATTGTGAAAATTTACACCTCCAAAAACTATATACCACCTGCAGTGAAAGCTTTAGAGACCATTTCTGAATCCCCCACCATTGCAAAGCAGGCTAGAAAGTTGAAACGGATGATTGAATTTGGAAGTTTATATCATGTACCACCTATTAAACAAAAGAAAAGACAGCAGAAAGCAGTCAAAAGGGGATGGGACCAGAGGAAACTGAGAAAAAATAAAATGTCTGATGACATTGCTCAGCAAAAGTTGCAGAGTATTTGGGATGATTTGGATAAAGACTGATCAAGACATTTTAGTAATAATAATTAATATGGAAACATTAGTATTTTATCATCAGTTGGTTCTCCTAGTTACTTTAGACCATTTAGGATAACACCCAATAATCTGTGACTAGAGTTACCATTTTTGTATTTATGCATGTTTTTAGGAATTTCTTAATTGTGTATCAAAATTTTTTGATCTTAGTATCATTTTAAATATATTGCAGTTACAAGGCTTTGTAACCCTATTTTTAGTGTTTTCCAAAGAAATTGTAATATAAAACAAGACTGCCATAGTTGTATCAGCTTTCCTTTTTTTGTGTATGTTTGTACACTGTATATAACATGGGAATCCCGTCTGTATACATTTTACCCTTACCACAGTTCAAAAGAATTGACAGTCCATGCAGAATTTTGTGATGGGCTATTTTGGGAACTGAAACAGTCTGCTTCGCCCCTGCTGGGATATAGATAGTTTTCAGTAGACCCATATTAACAAGAGTTATTTCCCGTTGGCCGCCATTTTGATGGTCAATCTATAAGGTAATTTTTGGGGGAAATCTTTATGGAATAAAAATCTTATATGGCTCTATATATATTTTTCAAAACAATGCTTACCTACCAAATATAAGAGGATGTAGCAGAAATATTTTGGGGGAAATCTTTATGGAATAAAAATTATAAAATAAAGGAGGCTCTAAAAAATATATATTTTTAAGAAAAACTGCTTACCACCCCACAATCACCAGTATAAAAAGTTAAAGTTGGTTGATTAATGAAGGAATATGAGCATGTTGACCCCCAATATGGAAATCGTTTTACATAGCTTTAAAAATCTTCTTCTCAACCATTCGGGAAATAACTCTTGTTAATTTGGGTCTACTTTTACATAGAAATATATAGGAAAAAACTATCTATTAGGGTGGGTGATAGATGTAAAAATCATGACCCCTGGGGGTACAGAGATTTTAAATATATAGAAAAAACTCTATTGTGAAGGAAACAATACTTCTGATTTTAGCCATGGAAGATGTGTTTTTTTATATTAATAAAACCAACTACAATGTACTGTGAAAATAATTTTCATGGGTTTAATATTAGTGTTTTTTTGTGGTGTGAAGAAACCCACAAATTCATGTCCTCCATGAAAGGTAAAATATATACCAGGTATGTAAATATATATAAATAATATGGAGCCAAATGCTCAAGAAGGCTTTTTAGATCCCATTTTGTTCAGAATATATCTGTAAACTTTTTATATTCTCAAACTTTTCGCAAGAAACACTGAGTCAATTTCAACCAAACTTGCCACAAAGTATTCTTAGGTCAAGGAAATTTATGTTTATTTTCAACGATGGGCAATATCTTCTTTCAAATATAGATAATTGTAAATAAGTGAAAAATTAATGACATTTATAAGCTAGAAAAATGAAAATTGTGTTGAAGAACTATCTTCAGACAAGTAGTGTAGAATCAGATTTGGTAAAATTGCAACTCTCCAGCACGTGTTTTGTGGACAGCACCCCTCCCCCGCCCCAATATACACCCCAGGTCTAAAGATATATTAAGATACTTTTATTCATATTTTTACATATTTTTTTCTTCTAATACACATTTACAATGTATTCCATATGAAAAATCCAAAAAATAACGTAGAATTAACATTTTATTAAATATCATACCCACGAGGTAAAACTGTATTAGGAATAACTAGATATACGAGGGTTGTTCGAAAAGTTCGTGGACGATGTCAATCCTCTTTATATTACTCACTAGAAATTTAAAATAATCACATTATAATATGTAAAAATATTTGTTTTGTTGATGTGTGTGTGAAGTTTCATTCCATTTGATTTAGCAGAAATCTATTTACTTCATTTTAAAATCAACATGTTTTATACCCGCGGAGCACACATAACGGCAATGTAACTTCAAAACATAGCGTCGATAATTTTTTAAACATACTATCCCTATACATTTCACGCAGTATAAAACAATGCCCTGTGGCAACGCACTTTGAAAAAAAAAATTTTCAAAGTGCGTTAAAATTGGGACCAACTCAACGCACTTTGAAAAAAAATTTCAAAGTGCGTTAAGAGTCTACATCAATTTATTTTACCATGGAGACACTTAACGCACTTTGAAAAAAAAATCATATTTCAGCCATGGAAAGATTTTATTTGTTATTTATCTTTCAAAAAACTAAGCCTAACCCTAACCTAAAAAATGAATTGATTTTACTCCCGTCGAAAAGAGGAGAAGACGGGTATAAGATCCCTCAGTCCAGGTCTTTATCTTTCCAATACGTGTCGGTAAAAAACGGGAGGGGAGCAATAAACCTAAAAAGGGTACGCTGCATTTTCAATGCTTATACGATGTATATATCTTTCCAAAATAAGTGGGGGGCTTAGCCCCCCATCCCCTCCCCTGGCCCTTCGCCCAGTCTCGATGTCTATGCTATACTCAAAGCATTCTATAATTATGTATTTACCTAACTGGTATGACGTTGAAAACTTTCAATAATAAATGAGTTAATTAAAACAGATGAAAACTAGAAATTTTTAAGTACAGTAAAACGTATGAGAGAAAAAGAATTTTCATAGATTTGAACAATCAAATTGGCCCCTTTTTATTATGATAAATGCTAAGTTGCTTAAAGCTGTCCACTGTTAGTGCCACCTTTACACCTTTACATCTACTTATCAAAGACTAGAATTAAAAAAGAAGAAGAAACGAATTAATGAACTTAAACAATCTTCACTCTTTTTTTCAAGACCCTTTAATTTTCCCTTTTATTTTATCAAAACCTTAAATATTTAAAACGTCAATATCTCAGGTCCTACAGTGACTTTATCATAAAAAGAGTTATCAAACCAGGATCTGTTATTTATCATACCGATTATTCGAAGGAATATTGATCAATCTTTACATTTTTTTCAAAGTGCGTTAATATGGTCGATATTAACGCACTTTGAAAAAAAATTATTTTTTTCAAAGTGCGTTGGGTTGGTCCAAAATTGTAACGCACTTTGAAATTTTTTTCAAAGTGCGTAATTTTTCAAAGTGCGTTGTAACAATGCCCATTCAATAAATTCTTTTTCTAATGCTTGACATTATTATTTTTTAAGAATTGCTCTCGTTGTATAATTTCCTTTGTTAAGGTTTTAATTTCTTTTATAACTTAACTCTGCTTTCACAGTATAATCTACTCTGAAGCGCCTACCGGGTATGTCTTTCCTTGACGTTCCAACTTTTGAAAGTTTTCAGATTTTTTTGTTACAGTTAAACCGTTTCTTTACAGATTATCCTCATCCGATACAAAGTCTCTGTCACTTAAATACTGCCTGTACTATTTGTCCACACATGCACAACTTGCTTGTGTCATATTTTCTTGATTCCTCCAACATTTTTAGGTCACTTGAGTAAACTCAGGTGACCTATTGCTATCTGTTTTCGTCCGTCGTCGTGCGTCGTCCGTCGTGCGTTAACATTTGAACATTTTCAGCTTCTTCTCTGCAACCACTGAACCAATTTCAACCAAATTTAGCACAAAGCATCTATGGGTGAAGGGGAACAAAAATTGTGAATTTCATGATCCCTGCCCCCCTGGGGCCTGAGGGGTGGGGCCAAAACCACTAAAATTAATGCAATCTTTAAAAATCTTCTTCTTTACTCCTGGACATCAAGCAGTCAAACTGTTTGTATGATTGTAATCAGCAATGAGTCCTCTACCAAAATTGTGAATTTTATGGCCCCAGGGTCTGGGGTTCTGGTGTTAGGGCGGGGCTCTATTGATTATATAGTGAAAATACATGAATTCTTTGAAAATCTTCTTCTCTGCTCCTGGGTATTAAATAAACTAGCTAAGTACATAGTTATGATGAGCAAAAGTGCCTATACCAAAAATTGTGAATTTTATGGCCCCAGGGTCAGGGTTTCTTGTTTTAGGGTGGGGCTCTAATGATTATATACTGAAATGCATGAATTCTTTGCTCCTGGTTAATATACTAATGATCTAATTAAATATTTAAGGCCAGGATTTATTTTATTTTCAGTTTTACAAACCCTCCGCTCAAGGTTTTGAATTTTCAGAAAAAATAAAACAATTTTTTTCTTTCCGGTGTCAAATTTGAGTCTGGATCGAGATTTCAAATTTACGAACTCGCACTTCCGGTTTTAAGATGAAACGGCGAGTAATAAAGCTAGATCTGAGAAGATAGCTTGGTTTAGTGTAAAATTCATCGATACGAGTGCCATTCAAAACCTTTCACCCCTTCAAAGGACAAATAAAATGCTGACAACTTTGTTGCACAATGACATGCTGGTGAGATAATTATGTTTCGTTTCAAAAGTATCTGTCTGTAAATTATTTTCCTCCCCCAGGTTTTAAACTGCCCGTGGTAGCTATTGCATTTTGCCAGAGACATTGTTTAGGTCTCTGTTATAGCTTACAGTCTAAGCATCATTCTTCAGAAAAGGATCCCTTAATTATGCATCAGATGTAATGAATAAAACTATTGGAGAAGTTAAGTCCATTTGAGGAAGAAATAAACAATAACCTGCATGAAGAAATAAAAAAAAATTCAACTATTAAAAGGCAAGAATATACAAATATATACAGGCATGTAGTATCATTTGTATCAGCCAGAAAAATTATTTTACACTTAATTGAAAAAATGTTCACCCTACTCACCGATACTCCCTGTCTGTTTTATGATAGGAATTATAATTTTAGGCATCAAGTAAATTTTAGAACAATGTCTACACATTCACCTAACACATATTAAAAAAAATGAAGATATATTGAAAGACTTTTAAAGAATTGATTTTTTAAAAAATATATTTTGACTAACAGCACAAAATTTATATAACTGGCCCAAACTGGCAGATGATGAAATAAGCAATTAAGTGTTCTACTTTCCTATTTGTAAGCATTATGTGTCCAGTGGTAAGGAGCCTATTAGAATACCATAAAAAAAAGAATGTACAAATGTTAATAATTGGTTTATCAAAAAAAATTTTTTTATTTCCTTCTCCTTTGGGACTTTTTTATTCTCATGTTCATAACTAAACCTAAACATAAAAAAATGCTGGTCTTATAATGAAGAAAGGGGCCTCTTTCAAAATAGATAATTTGAGGGCCGCTGGGTCAGGGGTACCAGGGGGGTACTTTGACTAAAAATAAATTAATAAAATAAAATAAATTAATGCTTTGAAATCTGCCCTTTGATAAGCAATGTTGCCTCCTTCAAAATTTGTGAATTTCATGGCTTTTGGATTAAAACACGAACCAAATACAATCGCTGGAAAGTTGTTACATGATATTCAGGTGACCTGTAAGGCCTGTGGGCCTCTTGTTAGAGGTTATTCAGGATTTTTCCTGAGTAAGGCTGTTCAAAGTTAATTCTACGTTTAACGTCACATCTAAATTTCAAAACCTACGAGGGAGGGAGGAAAAAAATAAACAAACAAAAATTTCAAACAATTGTGAATTTATTCAAATAAACCATTTCAGTACATTAACTAGAATTGAGTAATAAGAGTATTGGATGTGACACCTAAGTTTAATTTCCCTAGCAGAGTTTTTCCTTAGAATATTAATTGGTTTGAGTCCTGTTGTGAGCAAACAATGTAGACTGAATGTGCAGGAAAGTTGCTTGTCCTTTGGATTTATATTGCCTCATATCCATGGTACCCTGTAAGGAAATGCTTCTTCTTGTGGGAATAGTTGATCAATATCTACAATAAAGATTATGATGACAATATTTAATACATTCTTATATTGAAATATCTTGAAATTGAATTATGTTGTATTTCTTTCTCACAGTACTAGATCTATTAGAATTTAGATTTGAAAGTGTATTACATGTAGTTTATTCTAAATACCTTCAATTCCACACACAGGACATGGTTCTTCACTTCTTAAAATACCCAACCACTTTCCTTACTCTCCTTCACTTGAAAGGCTTATCTTCTGTAAGCTTCTCCCTGCTCAAATGGCAAAGACTAGTATTATCTTTCCAAAAACATGTACTAGGTATTTATACTAGGTACGTACTTGAATTATGAAGAAATCAATCTTACTCATTACTGTTCCTTTAAATTTTTACAAATATTTAATATGAAAGTATTTGATAGAATTTAAATGATGCATCTCACTGTATATAATTTTTTTACACATCTTGCACTCAGTTAAAAGCTCTGCGATTCTCTCCAAAATACGATGAAAAGTTCAGCCAAAATAATCACAAACTGAGTCTGTCATTGTCACAGTCTGTACACATGGTACATATGATTCGAAGACTGACCAAAAAAAATCAACAAACTAGACTTTGTCATTAACTTCAATCATAAAAACATCAATTTTTTTACTTACATTTATGATCCCATACTGTTTAATTCACTCCTTTTCATTTAATAAACACAAACACCATCTACTGAGGTATCAAAGCACATTTTCTACCACTACGGGATGCAGAATTGAGTCGCTAAATGTAGAACTAAAACACAAAATTGTATCGTTATCCGCTGCTCCGTGACGTTCTAAATCGTCATCGTTTTTGTCGTTTTCAATAAGGACTACCTATTTTCTCAAGTTGATTTCTTTTCAACAAAGCAAAATATAAAAGCATAATTTGGTACACGAATCGAGGTAACAATTTTGAATTTGAATTTCTAGGTTGTTTTTCGTTTTTGCTCCATTTTACAGTTAATATGACTACAGACTTTATATGGAGCATTGTTTGTAACTTACTAATTTTTGACCTGCTCCGCGATCCGATTTTTGCATTTTTAAAATCTGGATAAGTTTTGAATATATCGTAATATTTTGAAAAAGATTAATACAAATCATTTGGATTTATTGTTGAAATATTTCTTCCAAATTTGGATAACATATGACGTCAAATAAAAAAGATATGACAGTTGTCAACGAACTTTTCGAATAACCCTCGTATATGTAAAAAAAAAAAAATTGAACTGGGGTTGTATATTCGTGGGGAGGAGGGGGGGGGGGGGTCCTGTCCACAAGTACATGTACCTGTGCTCTCCAGGGTTAGGGTGGGGCCACAATTTGAGATCAAAGTTTTACATAAGCATACACGGAAATATTTAAAAATACATGTATTGTTCTCAAACCAGCAAAACCATGGTTGGTCAATGGTCACATTTACATGGAAGCATCCTTACATGTAGGTAGCTAGTGTATAATCAAGTTTGTTCAAAATATAACCCCCGGGGTAGTGTGTTTATCAAAGTTTTACAAAAGAATACTTTAAATTTTTCTCAAGAACAGACAGGCCATGTCAATTCAGAACATTCTCAGGAAGTGCAGATTCAGATTTACAAAAGAAAATCAAATGTGCAGGAATGGCTCGTCTATTCTTGAGAAAAATGTACAAATCATCAAGCAATGTAGATTAAAGTTTACTCATTCAAATTATGCCCCCCTTCCGGAACACATTAATTTTATATAAGAAAAGTTTCCGATACTTGACTGATTTCTTTTTTCCTTGCCGAAGTCCTCAGTTGAGCGACGTGGCTCCTTGTCACTTGTTTAAAAAACAAATCAAAATTACCCCATACTTTATACCGGTAGCATATAAAATATTCCCTCTATTTATCTTAGACAATTTTTAAAACGAGAAGAATTAAATTAAATGCGCTGAACATTTTCTGCTCGTTTAATTGCTGCTTTGGGGTTTATATATTAACGTATTAGACATAGCACTCCGCTATTTCCATGTATGTTTTCGATTCCGTCTTCTTACTAAAACGTGCATCTAAATAATCGTTATTCTGTAGTTCATCTGTACTTTTATAAAATAGGGCATCCGAATCCATGATATCTAAGTACGTGTTGTCTGGATCCAGGCGATGCACTCCATATGTATCTGAACACGTTTTCCTGGATTTCTGTAAGGGGGCATATGTCTCCCCCATTGTATGGTGTTCAGATGTAGACGCGGTGTGTACTGAGCGACGGCAATTTAGAGGAAACCTATAAACAATCCATTTGAATGAAATCTATCTCCATTTGAATCTAATCAAAAACACATTGAAATAAATTCAGAAAAAAGAAAAATAGATTTCTGTTTAAACTATATTTCTATACCTGGTCTTTTTCTTTTTGAATAACATCAGGACCACAAGTAGTAAAGTTGTTGCTGATGTAATCCCGAAGAAAACAGCATCTTACAGGGAAACACAAAACAAAACTCATATTACTAGCAAATCTACTTTGATAAAGTAATTTTCAATTTGCCCCCCCTCTTTTTTTTTTAAAGCAAGTCATTTTTTTTTTATTCATATTCATAATAAGTATCTCTTTACATCAGAACTACTTATAAAAATTGGAGAGAGAAATGAAATAAGTGGGATACTAAAACGATCTGAATTTAGAATTTATATAAGATGAGCAACTCAAACAAGTCAAACAACGGGCCGAGTTCGCGCTGATTTAAAAACCCATCTTCCCGGGAAAGGGGGGGGGGGTCGTACATTTTAGTTGTGGTTTGCGACGATGTTAAGATATAATAATAAAGAAAACTCACAAATATTTACGCTTGTGCTTCCTGAAGCCTCGGATTCAGTTTTGATGCCATCTTTAAAAGAGAAGAATGCATATATTATTAAATATATACGAATGTTCAGGAGGCGGATCCAGCAATTTTTTGAGTTCTGAGATAGCGAGCCTCACTCAAAAACAGAATAACAATAACGAAGAGAGCAAAATTATAATCATCTTAAGCCTTTGTAAATAATTTATTTATTTTACGCCCCTGACATTAAATATTTTTGCAATATTTCCAAAATAAAATTGTTGGGAATTGGACACAATACGTTTTTGTTTTTTAATTGAATTTTCCTGGAAAACCACCCTGTAGGGGACTTAAAACTTAGAAATATTTTATTTTGGCCTTAATGTGGCTCGAAAATGGTAGCCGAAATCTGATATTAAATTGAACCTCGCATATTTTTTGAATAAGTAGAATATGTGTGATTCTGTCTATAGATCGATAATATAACAGATGGAATACATGTATGAGCAGAGATTGTAGCCGATCGAGCTATTTTGAACTCTACTTATACTCAGATCGTACTAGAGGTAAATATGTATGCATGTTTTCAAGAATACGGGGTTCCCCCTTACTCTCCACATGTTAAAAAAAAATTAAAAGGGGTTCCAACTCACAGCCCCCACCCTTTCCTGGATCCGTAAAATTGTGGACATAGTATTTTTAACGAAATACAGTGTGTATGCTGAAAATTAAAGCAAATGTTAATTACTACTATTACACATCTATATTTCTGATAAATTATATCCTTGATGATTTTGTGTTTAAACCCTACACCATTACTTTGGCATATTACCTGTTATCAGTTTTGTTTCAAGGATGGCTAAAGTTGTTGCAAATTTTACAACTCCTGGTAATTTTGCTGCTACAGTATTCTTTTTCACAGTTGTTGGTATTCTATTTACTGCATAAGACATTTTTGTTACTTTTGCCGTAAGCTTTGATGTTGTTTTTGGAATTCTTTTTGTTGTCAAGGTCCTCCTATCTTTCACTGTCGCCGTTGAATTTGATGTTGTCACTAGAGCTGTTGTATTCTGTGTTAGCTTTGTTGTAAATGTTGTTTTTGGAATTCTTTTTGTTGTCAAGGTCCTCAGTTCTTTCACTGTCGCCGTTGAATTTGATGTTGTCGCTACAGTTGTTGTATTCTGTGTAAGCTTTGTTGTAAATGTTGTTCTTGGTATTCTGTTTGTTGTCAAGGTCCCCTTTGACTTTGATGTTGTCGCTAGAGCTGTTATCCTCTGCAAAAGATTTGTTGTCAGTCCAGTTTCCGGTATTCTATTTAATGTCCACGGCATTTGTACTACTGTCGCCGTTGATCTGGGTCTTGTCACTAGAGCTGTTGACATCGGCATTAGTTTTGTTGTCAGTCTAGTTTCGGGTATACTTTTTAATGTCCACGAAATTTGTTCTACAGTCACCGTTGATTTAACCGTATTTTGTTCTGTAACACGTGGAAGGGAAACTGAAAAGACAAGTTTTTAAAGAAAACTTCATTTAAACTCAAAGTTCAATATCTAAAATTCAAAATTTTTCACATTTTATACACACATAAAATATGTATTAAGCCCTAACAATTATGGCTAAGGTTAAAGTTTGTGAATTTTTTAAACTGTGGTTCAAACTCCAAGATTAACAGATCAGATGTCAATAACCAAATAAAGGCCTTATCATAAAGAATACCTATGTGAAATATGAAAGTCATAGCCTTAACCAATCAAAAGTTATGGGCAAGGTTAAAGTTTTTGCGGTTAAACAGCTAAACAGACAGACACACGGACGTACAGGATAAAAGAACTATATATGTACAACCCAATCTTCGATGACGGGGGCATAAAATGATATCTCAATTTCATGACTTTAGCTGCGTACATTTGTAAGACATTTGTATGGGTATATAGGAGTTTATGGCGTGATTGTATCCTTTAATATATCTCTATTAACTTTTGCTTCAAGTTGAATTTTAACCTTAAAAACAACCCATTATAATACCACTCCAAGACATTAAAAATCCCTTCGCTGTAAATTTGTCATCGGATATAAAGGAAATCCGTATCAAACGTCCCGTTGCAGTTCTTTTTATATTGCTCTCTTTGCCACATCTATTCAGGAGAGTATGACAGCAAGGTTCAACTTCCTTAATCTAAAAATATATTCATTAAAAATCAAAATAATTTTCAATGTACAAATACTGGAAAAACATTTTCTGCACACTGTTTGAAGTTATAAGTTTTTATACAGTATAGAAATAATTTTTTTGTGCTCAAAAACAATGATTCACATAAAATCTGTTTAAGAATAAATACAAATCTTATGGTCATTTTTCTTCACAAAATTGAAAGGAGAGAGAAAGAGAGCAAAACAAAATAAATCACAACGAGCCCCCCCCCCCTTTTTTGTACCCAAAATTAAAAATCAAAGGTCTATTTTATGAAAAAAAGCATATTTTGTTAAAATTACCTCCAGATAGTCATCACATGGGTAATATTTGTGTTTCCTGATGTCGAAGTCATGAATGGAAAAGTAAATTTTGGCTTGTTGGAATCCCGTTGAAATGACCCAAGTGTAGTTTACGTTATTGGGATAGTTTCCAGGGTACCCAGGGGAGGTAATTGTTCCACTGCTGTCGTATAGATACGTGGTTGTAGATATTTGCAAATTATTTCCTTAAAAGAAAAAAAATGTAAAGAAAACCACATATTATAAACAACTCACAAGTTAATAAATACATATGACTTTTGCAGGCGCGGATCCAGAAATTTTTTCCACCACATTTCCATTATAATTAGCAACTCACAAGTTAATAAATATATATGACTTTGTATTAATTAATTTTTATTGCCAGTATATAAAAGAATTCCTCAGTCAAATGTCAAAGGACTGCGGAATAGGTGGTAAAAATTTAAAGTTAATTTCATTTTTTTCTATAAAAAAGTAAAGCTCTTACCTATCAAATTGAAAATAATCGCAACAATAAACAGATGAACATTTTTCCACATTATGCTTCAACAAATCAGCTGAGGAAGAAACACGCGGAAATTTTTACTTCTCCGTAGAAATACACACAAAAGTATTTTTGTCAACCGCTTTCGCGAAAGCGAGGGGACATCAAATATCATTCGTCTGTCCGTCCGTCACAAAAACTTCAACCGTGTTTATTACCAGTGACAAAAGCTTTTTAAGACCTATGATTTTTGACCACGTGGTCTTGACCTTTAAGTTTTACCCACTTTTATTTAAAAATTTAAACATTACTTTAAATTAGCCATAACTTTTGAATGAGGAGATAGAGGGCTTTCGTATGAAACATGTGTAACACCCGTGACAATACCTTTTTAAATACACTATGATTGGTGATCTTGGCATTGAAGTTTTACCTACTTTTCAAAAACTTTAACCTTGGTCATAACTTTTGAATGAGAATTTAAGAGATAGGACTTTCACATTTCACATGTATATAACCTGTGACATGACCTTTTTAAGTAATTTTTGACCCCATGCCCTTGAACCTTGACGTTTGACTTTTTTCAAAAACGTTGTTTTTCTTTACAACTTCTGATTGAAAAGAGGTCAAGATTTCATATTGACATGTTCACTACCTGTGACAAGATATTTCCGAAAATGCTATGATTTCTGACACATTGACCTTAATCTTATGTTTTACGTGATTAAAAAAACATTTTTGGTGATTTCTTTTGAATGACATAAGATAGGGCATTCATATTTGATACAATAGGCTATAAATAATAGCATCTCAGCCACATAGCTGCAGATCTGTAGCGTTATGGTTTTATATATTAGTCTCTGACCATGACGCTACAGATCCTGTAATGCAAAGAAACGTGCAATTTACGGCCCAAGATTTTACGGCACTTTTTGGGAGAATTTTCTCACTTTTGAACTTAAGTAAATCATCTACCTTACACCCCTTAATTCCAGACACATTCTTAAACCAATTTGTATATTTCATTTTCCTCTCAACCATTTATATATCGCCTCTCCAGGCGAAAAATAGCCATGATTTGAATTGTCAGAGGATTGCAGAAAATTCTAATTCAAGCGAGTTAATCGCTTGTAAAGACAATTATAAAGGGCTAGGAGGTCTATAAAATATACCGATTTATTAGAAAATGTGTCTAGAATCATAGAGGGAACGGAAGATGGTTAACTAATGTTGGAAAGTGGAGAAATTCTCCCCAACATTGCGTAAAAAATCTTGCGCCGAAAATTGCACATTTTTTGCATTACTGGATCTGCAGCTACTCACCCACAAAGACATCGAAAGCGACACCGCTAGTCAAGGGTTTCTGATACGCTATTCTTTTCATAAACTTGTGAGGAGAGCAGCGTATCAGAAACCCTTGGCTAGCAAAGGAGCGCAAGCTGGGGACCACAATTCTTTGAAACTGCTTGTTAAAAATTGAAATCACATACTCGAAATGGTAACGTCAACTTAAGATAAAATCACATATTCGAATCAGATTACTTATTTTTCACTATCTTTCTTTTAATGATGAATTTTTACATGAATTTCTGAGGTTTGTTGCATCGTTTTGAATTTGTAGTTGTTCATATTTAATTATTTTTAGGCAGTCGATTGAGGATCAACGACGCAAGATCGACAGACAGCATTTTGGTTACCTTCTCTGTGAGAAATGTACATGTATCCAGGAGTGCAAAAAAAATCTAAGATTTTGTATATGCATGTTAAACTCATATCAAATACTTTGTTTCCTTATCATAATATTGAAAGAAATAATACATACAAGTACGTGTAATATTTATAAATTCGGCAGTCGGAGTAACATTAAAAAGTGAATACATAAAACAATTGTAAAGACAGCACAAAAACGCACAGAACCAGTTAGAAAGTATACTGTAACTCGCAAATGCCATTTATTTTTTTAAACATTAACAGAGCGGAGCACTTTCCAAAAGTTCCCAAACATTGATTATGAAGTATATGATAATGGCGCCAAGAAATGATCCAAGCTGCTGCATGACACCGATCCAGAGAAGTGTCCTCCGTCCTCCCCTGTGGAAGATGTTAGCTATGGAAACTCCGGAGTAAGTTAGGAAAAGACTGGCGAGTATCCAAGACAAAATCTGTAAAGCAAAAACCTTAATTATAAAATAATGATTCATTAAAAAAGAGTTTGCGCTTTAATATCAAATTCAAAGGTTTTTACAGTTACACATCTAAAAGTATGATTTTCTCTTTAAAAAAAAAATTAATGTCTTCAAAACGTGAAATACAAAACTAGAATTAATTTTTTTAGCTTAATCTTCAATGTGATACGAGCCATTTCAATTAAAACAAGATGTGTTTGTGAAACACTATGTTCTAAAAGTTCTAAAAACTATTTTTAGCATATAGGTCACAGTCAAGGTCACAAGGTCATTGATCTTCATGTCATTTGAAAGAACTTTAATAGTGGAGTATGCGTACTAAAAATGAAGTCTGTATCTCCTGTGGTTCAAAAGTTATGGCGAAAGTTCGAAAAAGCTATTTTTAGCATATAGGTCACAGTCAAGGCCACAAGGTCATTGCCATTGGTGTCATTTGTATGAGCTTGATTAATGAGGTATGCATAACAAATATGAAGTCTCTATCTTCTATGGTTCAAAAGTTATATGGCAAAAGTTCGAAAAAGCTTTTTTAGCATGTAGATCACAGCCAAGGTCACTGACCTTGGTGTCATATGAAAGTACTTTATAAGTGGAGTATGCATATTAAATATGAAGTCTCTATCTCTCATGGTTCAAAAGTTATGGCGAAGGTTAAAGTTGACATCAGGCAGACAGATAAACAGACAAAATTTGCAGCTCTCCACCGTCAAGGGGTGGCGTCTCCATCAGAGAGAAAAATTTACGAAAGCAACGTAAAAACATGTATATAATCAATCTAAAAGCAAATTTTATGAATTCATTACCATGGGTTGATTTGAATATGTGTCATTGTGTGTTGGGGGTGGATTTGGATGTCCAAAGAGTTTTCATATTAAGAAAAAGGAGGACAATCCACCACCTCCTGGAGTTCATAATTAAAAACAATTCAACGTTATTCAAATATGAAGAGGTGTGTACATACGACTAAAAATTCGCCTGCAAATGTCCCAACTAGCATCGGGGTAGGACTTGCTGATGCAGTGTAAATAATGTACACGGCTGAAAGGATTCCAATCAATGTACACGTTGATATAACGAAACACGAGGAAACAGTTAAAAACATAGCTGCAAAACAAGACAGCGGGTTTGCAATCAAAGACAAAATGACTGCCAAATGATAAATACGTAATCCATACGGCAAACTTGAGAAAGTAGCTATTGATGGCAACACTGTATTTTTAACGCCATTTATGATAGCAGTTATTATCAAATAATAATAATATTTTGGTGAAGAACTGGAAAAAGTTTCGGTAGCATCTGGGTGTGACTTTTCCATCAGGGAATATTCTTCAGCTGCTATGAAGTCTTTCGAGCTTTTGCTCTTGTAGTCTGAAATTTCAAGGCTTTCAAGTTCCAATGTTTGGTTATTCTTGTGAGAAATCGCATAGGCACGTCTGCAATATCCAGAGTAATTCAAAAAAGTAAACGCAGTTCCACTTGCAAAGACCATACAAGAGAGGAACAGGAAAAAATCCCGCACAGGAAATACAGGGTCATGAAACCCTGGTTGGGTAATGTAGTCAGATACGTTAGTAGTAGAGTTAATGAAAGAGATGTTTTGACAAGAAAATGACCCACTTCCTTGAATTAAACCAACTATTCCTGGAACAAGACTGCTCATTCCTTCTCCAATGAAATAAACCGTTAGGTAAATTTCTTTGAATTTGACCATAAACGGTAAGAAAACCACCGAGGTCGTACAATCAACGAGAGCCAGAAACCCCGTCAGCGTCAGTAACCATGTACTTCTCTCAACACCAGCAACGTGACTTGTCGAATCCCAAAAGAACGCAAGAAGTAAACAAGCAATGCAACCGATTCCCAGGATAACATAGATAACAACTGTATCATCCAGCTTCCCTGGAGCTTTAGTACGCATGAGCGTAACGAACAGCGGTCCGATGTTTGCTATTTGAGTTATGATAGAAATGTAGGAGACAAGTCTCCATCCTTCGGGAAGACGTCCGTGTATGATAAGTAATGGAGACTCTGCCCACAGTCCATTTATGTCGATCCAAGATCCAATACCGAAAATCACCACTGTCAGACACACTAACGGATGAACCTGGACCCACTTACAACGCTTCTTTTCCATGATAGGTGTGAATTCTGAATGTGAGATACCTTATCGAAGCAATTTATGATTCATTCCATCTATGCATTAAGAAGGGATATGCCGTCGAATACATTATTTAGTCTAAACTTGTACAAGTGTTGTCAGAAATTGGTTAATTATTTAGATAAGACTTTGGTATGTATGTTTGTTTATGGGGTAGTGTGTCATCACAACGCCACTGCCTAAACTGCAGTGGAATGCTACAAGGTAGAACTACCCAGGGTATTATGAAATGAATGCATGTGTAATCCCTTCTGCTTGGCTTTTTTTTTTATTACCAACTTCAGTATTACTTACACCATTGGACCTATTTAGGTTTACTTTTGAGAATAGAATCTAAGAGCAAGCAAAAATAGATGAGGACCCATTATAGCACACACTTGCTATTTACTAACAGACACTAAACATTATGCCATGAAATTCCAGGACTTAGGATCTTTTGATAGAGGTCATGAAACTTGTATTCGTTGTAAGTACAATTGGCGGTTCTTTGTAGAGCTGTCCTGCGCTGGCATATTTCCATATTTCACTGGCAGTTTTCGTTACATGAAAAAGGCATAAACTTTAATGCTAGTAGCAAATTTTTGAATCTTTAATAATGCAAAACTGCAAGTAACAATGTATAACAGTCTAGATTTAAATCATATACTAACCATCATATACAGAGACTAAAGATCAAATGAAAATAATTGCCGATTCACTAGGCCTATCTATGATGTTTTATTCCTCATACACAAATATAAATATCGGTAAGTGAAACAAAATCACTAAATGAATCGATAAATATATATTTACAAAAAAGATAGAGCATATTGATGAATTAATGAAAAATGAGAATTGAAAATTATAATTCTAAAATCTCTTCATTCCATTGGAGCTTGCTCCTTAATCAGGAGGACAGTTTCGGGTCTTTTGGATGAGATTTCATGTTGTAAATTTTGAATTTACCGGGTGGCAGTAAATTTTGTATTTACTGCCATCAGGTAAAATCAAAATTTACAACAAGAAAGAGACCTTAAAAATCACGGTAGGCGTTGGCAAGATAAAGAACCCTCACTGCTCAATGGCTTTGAGTACCAAGAAAAAGTCAAAATTTTAAGCTCTTCACCGGTATGGTGACTTTACTGTTTGAGTGAAAAATTCTCCAACGGGACATGCAGTAAAACAATAATCAATCCAAAGAGAGGAAAGATCAAATTGAATGAAAAGAAAAGCTGACTCAGTTTTTATTGCTCATACCCTAAAAACTATCTTTAAGCAAAACAAATATCCTTTGAACAAATATACATGTATAAATATATTTAAAAAAAATAAAATCACATTGATCAAGTTATAAAAACAACTGAAACACTAAATCATAATTCCAAAATCTCTTCCGGTGGTCTTTCTTCTGCTTTCAATTGGATCTCCTCTTTACAAATGGCGTAAATGTTTTGATTACTCGGTTTTGCATGTGGTCGCTTTACAAATGTGGTGTCGTACACACCCTCGGGGTATTCCATATAAAGACCATCCCGACTGTCTTCATACAAAACAGTTTCAGCCTCTTGAGCGCTTGAGTAAATAGGAACTGGATTTAAGTCATTCTCGTTGGATGGTATTCTGTCTTCCTCAGTTATCATACTGGATGCAGCTCTCCTTCAAAAACATGAAAGTGCTGAATACTATAATATTAATCTCACTCTCTCATAAAAATTTTAGAAACTTTGTAGAACATCTACATTTCATATCATTGTATCGATGGTTTTAATACCTTAACCAGCATCCTTGTTTTGACAAACATCCCAGGACAAATAACAGTCCAACCATTATTGCACAACTGGCCATGAAAATGTAAACTATAGGAAAGAAAAAAAAAACTAAATAGTTTTCTTGTAAAAGTCATTTTTAGCGGACACATGCAATTTTAAATACCTAGAAAATTTCTGTGATCTTTTCGAACTGTTGTTGTTTGCAGCGTGAGTAATACCGTTGTTGATGCTTTCCGAGTTGTCTCCAATTCAGTCGACGTTGTTGTCTTCAAAGTTTCTACATCAGTTGACGGGCCGTGTTGTAACGTCGCTACAACCATTACTTGAACATTACAACTTACTTTGGTACTGCTTTTCAAAGCGCCCTTATAAAAGCTAAATTATGTTTAGCTTTAGGGAAGTGAATTGAAAATGAGATCTTAAAATATATGGCTTTAATATACAATTTAACAAAAATAACGCGCACAGATTGAATCTGGACATACCCATCATGAATAGATTAAGCTGTAATTAGTACTTAGACTTTGCATGTACCACCTGTGTGAAATATGTTAGGTGCAAAATATAGAATTTTTAGGCTGGATGTAGTTGTGACAATAGTGCAAGGGCATTGTTCATGTTTTTCTACATATACATGTAAATAATTTCACATGATATATGTAAGCAGATTTTCATTTCTGTAACCAGCTATACACCGTACAATATGTGAATTTAAAATTATAAAACAGAAAGGCCATTCTTTTCAAATTCGAGTTTTTGAAATTTGTCTTAGTACCAAAAACTACCTTTACAATCAATATAGAAGAAAATGACCCACACATATTTGCCCTGCCGGATTGATCGTTATATCAGAGCCCTCTACAAAGATTGTGAAATCAGACATGCAGCATTAAAATGTCCATTTTAATAAAACCATTTGATTTATGAAAAAATAGAAGAGATCATTCTGTTTCCCTGAATCAGTAAAATATACTAATACCAGCATAAGTACCATAAAACTATGAGGAAAAAACTAGAACAAATAGAACTCGGAAATTCACAATTCACTTGTAAATATGATACAATCTAAGGTCACTTGAAGAAATTTTTTTTTTTTTGAAATCAAGGGAAAAAAATAAGGAGAATGGAAAAAAATTATTCAAAGAATCTGAGAGCAGATCTAAAGGGGGATGGGGTTGGAAGGACAGGTCACTTTAAAGCGGGTTGGTGGGAAAATAGGGAGTTGTGATATAAAAAGCTCCAAGCATCTTGATAAATCGCGCTGAAATGAATTTTTTCTCACAAACAAAATGTAGTTTGAATTTATGACCTTTACCTTCAGACTCCAACATCGATAGGACAGAATTTATAGTTCCATGCACTTTGAAATGTAGCTCGACAATAGAAAAGCTAATCAAACAAGATGTGTTTGTGAAACACTATGCGCCCGGCGGCAACAAAGTTCTAAAAAGCCATTCTTAGTAAATATGTCACAGTCAAGGTCATATGATCATTGTCCTTGGTGTCGTTTGAAAGCACTTAATTAGTGGAGTATGCATACCAAATATAAAGTCTACATCTCCTATGGTTCAAAAGTTATGGCAAAAATTCGAAAAAGCTATTTTTAGCATATAGGTCACAGTAAAGGTCACAAGGCCATTGGTGTCAGTTGAAAGTGCTTAATTAGTGGAGTATGCATACCAGATATGAAGTCTCTATCTCTCATGGTTCAAAAGTTATGGCGAAGGTTAAAGTTGACAACAGACAGACAAACAGATAAACAGACAAACAGACAGACAGGACAAAAACAATATACGCCCCGAATAAATTCGGGCGCATAAAAAAGTATATTCATCCGTATATCACACATTACTGGTATGTCATATGCTTACGTTCTATGCTTCAATTTTTCGTACTTATCTGTTTTTTGCTCGTTGTTGTTAAAGGTGAACTTGATGGTATGAAAGACACTGTTCAAGTTATAAAAGTATACAATTATACATTAATTAATTGTTGGATAAATATAAGTGAACAATTAATGTGCATTTATTTATTATAAGAATAAAACTAAATTATCAGGAATATTGCTGTTTTTACTGTTTTAATAGAAACGAACCATTCCAAAATAGTAAAAATCCTTTCCCTGTTTCACTTCTGTCTGATACAAAAGACACCCTAATTTTATTTCCCTTGGTTAATATAGATATGTTACTAAATTGACCACATCTCTTTAGTGGCGTGTGGCAGCAAGGATCAATCTCTGTAATCTGAAATAAATTTAACAATAAAATTAAAAAAAAATATCTCAGACAGATTTTTTTTCAAAATTAAGTGTTCGATATAAGATACCTGCAGGTAGTCGTTACATTGATTTGTCTGCGAACTTTTGATATCCACGAAGAAAATGACGAAATAAACGTATGCTAAGTATCCTGGTTTAATTATCCAGGTATAATTAGCATTGTTTGGGTAGTTTGCCGGGTATCCAGGAGATGTTAGATTTCTGTCCTGGTTGTCTTCAATGGTTTCTAACAATGTGTATTCAAATTTTCTCCAAGCTAAAGCCAAGTAGACAACGTCTTGAAAGATGATTTCGAAAGAGGAAAACTATTTAATATATTATTTCATTTTAAAGCATAAGAAATCAAATTTTTCTTCACCAGTGTAAAAAAATGAAATGTTAGCACATATTTGTTTAATTCTATATATTACCTACCGGTTGAAATACACGTAATTGTCGTGAAAGTCAAAAGTGAACTTGCGTACATTTTTGACAAAACACTCCACAAGAAATCCAGCATCCTACACAGGAAGAACTTTAGGCTTTCAATGTGACCGACATAAAGCTATTATTAAGGGAAAGGGAAGTTTTCACTTGGCCTATAATGTTGAAAAGCATTTAATTGATTATGTATTGTAATAGACGTGTATTTTAAATATTACGAAGTTTTTTGTTTTATTTAGCACGAATATAATTATTGTTCTAATCTGTACGATTACAGGTGTCAATATCCACCGAATCTGTGCATTATATTAATGTTTGTAGCAGTGTATTATATTATTTAATTTAAAAAATGGGTATCAACTGTTCCTTCGCCATGCGCTCGGCACTTTGAAATGAAAGTTGCGGGTTCTTCTGATGAGACCTTAAAAACCGAGGCACCGTGTCAGCTGCAGGCGTTGGCACGATAAAGATCCCTCACTGCTCAATGGCCCTGAGTGCCGAGTAAAGGTCAAAATTTGAAGCCCTTCACCTGCATACGCTGACGTCTCCATATGAGTGAAAAATTCTCGAGAGGGACGTTTTAAAATATACAATCAATCTTTATTCTTGGATTTTGTTTCATTTTTTTTAAAATTACGTTTCTTGTTTTGTTGCGTTTAGCTTGGTCTGGTTTTTTCATGCCAAAATACATATATATGCGTCTTTCTCTTTTTTAAGTTTAAAAGTAGAACTTGACATTGTCGAAATACCCCGGTATAAATACGCTTCTTCTGTTAAAAATATTATATTTTGCATTTAAATGAAGAATGGAAATAGTAAGAAAAGAAGAACTTTTGACTTACCTTGACTCCCTCCCCTTTTAGAAAACAAAAAATTCAAAACAAAAAAACACTTGTGAAGAATTAAGCAATGCAAATACGTAGATCACTTCTCCCAGTGCACAATAGCTGATTTGAGGCTTATATACCTCTCTCATCTGTCATAAAAATATTTTTTCCATTTTTTTTAATCTTCAGTGTAATGTTACTTACTGTTCGACTTTGTGCAGCTTTGAAGAAGGAAAAGGATGAATATTGCTTACGTTTTTGGTACACTGAGATCTCACCTTCAAGAAAAAGTGGATCCCCAAACATTTCTGATCTTCCGGCTCCAAGGTTTATTTGTAATCCGAGTCATGAATTTGTGAAAAATTATTTAAACCTTGTTGATAAGTAACAGATCATTCAATCCAGCGTTTATCGCAATGATCGAGGACAAAAAAAAATTGCATTATCTTGCTATATTCTAGATTATAATATTATATACTCTCTAAAAAAATTGACTCTGCTATAAGGATTTAGTGACAGAACTTTTCTGCGTCCTCAATTCTAGATACGTAGTATCAGAGGGAAGGGTATGTTTCAATATTGGGGGGGGGGGGGCTATCTCTCCTTCCCTGGAAAACGATGCTACGTGCCCAAGAAAAAAAATAATATGCGAAGAAATAAGTTTTTTATGCAGAGATTGGAGTCAACATTTTTTCATATAATCTAATGGAATCAACTTTTCAAAATTAGTACATCCTTGTATCATTTTTCTAGATTGAAATTAGAAAATAATCCGAATTATTAAAACGCAAATGTACACTGCAAAAAAGGGTATTCAGATACCTTGCAAATTTCTGTTATCTGTTTGAGTTGTTGATGCTGTTGGTAGTGGGAGTATAAATGTTGTTGAAACTGTCCATGTTGTTGTCTCCAGTGTTACTGACGTTGTTGTCATAGGAGTTGTTTCTGCATCTATTGTAGTGCCTTGCTGAAATGTTGCTACAAAAATATTAAACAACAATTTGAAAAAAAAAAATAACTCAAAAGTAAATGTAAAAATTTGAATTTTGAGAAATGAACTTACGCGGTAACTCATCTTTGTGTCATATTTAATGCATTCTCCACAAGAAAATCCTCTGTCGAAAGGATGTTGCAAAATAATTTTTAGGTTTATTTTAACATTCGGGGTCTTGTTCATAATATATGTAAATTCCTGCGAGTAAAGGGAGGGCGGAGCTGTTTCAGTATCTTTTGGGGCAACTATTTCCCCCTTCCCTGGAAAACGACACTACGTACCTGAACTAATTCATAATTATAAAAAATCGGCAACAAGAAAGAATCCTCTGCAAGTATTTACATCATATATCAAAGAAGATTTTCGCGTTTTCGGATATTGCAGCATATATACTAGTATATGGATTCATCTGAGATTTTAGTACAAGTGTATTTTTTATGAAGAAATATATTTGATAAGGTATGTGGGAATTGATTTTGACACATACATTAGTATTAGCAAAATAACTAGCATCACGGAACCATATAAAAAGAATTCTTGAAAGTGTACATGTAAAGCTGAGAATCAACGTTCTTGTCATTTTATCACTTCTGGTAGCATTACTTTCATTGATCAAGTTTTAAAATAACAGAGGCATTATCGGGGAAAAGATACCAATGCCAATACCAGCACTTAACCAGAAAAAAGAATGAAGCATTCTAATCGACAGGTAGGCAAAGGATTAAAACAAATCAGCATTGACTCCACCACAGAACTACTAGTTTCCTGGCTTTTTTGCGTTCTAGACTGACACTACTGGAATTGCAAGTCATCCTGTCTACCAGAAAGTTTCTTTTTACATTTCACAGAAGAGTTGTGTTTGTTCAATGTATATTACAATGTATTGTATTCATCGCCAAAGTTTCATAACTACAAAAATTTCATACTTATCTGTTTTATGTTCGTTGTTGTTACAGGTGAACTTGATGGTATGAACGATACTGTTAAAGAAATAAAAGTTTACAATTATAAATTAATTTGTTTTACATGTAATGCATATAAATCAGAAAAAAATATTACAGTATTTTGATAGAAGCAAACCATTCCAAAACAGTAAAAATCCTTTTCCTGTTTCACTCCTGTCTGATACAAAAGACACCCTAATTTTATTCCCCTTTGTCAATATAGGTATGTTCGTAAATTGGCCACATCTCTTTAGTGGCGTGTGGCAGCAAGGATCAATCTGTGTTATCTGAAATAAATTCAACAAGAAATTTTAAAAAATATCTCTCAGGCAATTTTTTTCTTTTAAAAAAATAAGTGTTCGATATAAGATACCTCCAGATAGTCGTTACATTGGTTTGTCTGCGAACGTTTGATATCCATGAAGAAAATGACGAAATAAACGTATGCTGAGTATCCTGTTTTAATTATCCAGGTACATGTATAAATAACATTGTTTGGATAGTTTGCCGGGTATCCAGGAGATGTTAGATTTCTGTCCTGGTTGTCTTCAATGGTTTCTAACAATGTGTATTCAAATTTTCCCAAAGCTAAAGCCAAGAAGACAAGGTCTTGAAACATGATTATGAAAAATTAATCTATGTATGTTATTTTATTTTAAAGCATCAAAAATCACATTTTTCTTCACCGATGAAAAAAAATGATATGTGAGGACATATTTAATTCTATATATATAAATGTATATAATTAAAAAATAAATCGCTTACCGGCTGAAATACACGTAAATGTCGTGAATGTCAGAAATGAATTTGCATTCATTTTTGACGAAACAATACGCCAAAAATCCAGCAAATCCTAAAACAGAAAGATTGTGAACTTTATTCTTTCAATGTGTACGAGATATAGCTAACATGAAGAGAAAGGGAAGTTTTCACTTGGCCTATAATGTTAAAAAGCATTTAAAGTAATATACGCCATATGAATGCCGATTTTTGTGTGAAACAAAATGATTAAATGATTTGAAACATATGAAGTGTAATAAAAAAATAATATTTTCACAAAATTTAACTATAAAACTCGTTGTAATAACAGAGCATTAAAGCAAAATCAATCACGAATTCAGTCTTTTCATGAATATTGATGAAGGAAGTGCGTAAACAGTAGGCCTAAATATAGACACGCATATCCATGGGAAACTATAGACAACGAGGCATGTTGCATTTTGACAACGATTATTTTAATAAAAGGTTAATATGCGTCATAACAGAACAGATGGTTGATACTGATTACATTAAAAAATAAGTAATATTAAGAGTAAGACGCCATCCATGTCAAAAGTGAGTTGTATCTCAAACGGCTTACCTCGTTTTTTTGACGCCATGTTTGTTTATCAATCTAGATTAAAGCTGACATCAATTCTTAAAAACGCAACATTTTCATCTATATATGTACGACTTGTTTCATACCAACTATAGCCGTATACCGCCATATTTCTTTCAGATACCTTGTCTCATTGTATCGATATATACCCCAATGCGCTCGTTACACTTGAATGATTTTTTGACTTGGATATCGACTTGTGCACATCTCCGATGGTAAAGCGTATGAGAACACATGAGGTGTTCAAGACATTTCAAAACCACAATAAACAACATAATAATCATATTTCTGAATGATTATTGATTTGAATCAAAAGTAAAAAATTTGGAAGAGAAATTTAGATGCATGAGTACATATTTTTACAGTTCGCTAATTTATGCAGAATAAAATTGAAATAAAAAGCAGTAAAATCCGCAAACACATTTTGAAATTATCATTTGAATGGAACAAAACAACCAACGTCTTTGATTTGCAGGTCCTATATGCAATTGATGCATATCAAGAAAACGCCTCGAACGCTGTAAACGTACCCATACCTGGTAATAAGGTTACTGCATCGGTTCGAAGATGTGCACGAGTCATATTAGTTATCCAGGTTCAATCAAGGGTGTACGGGGATTTACCCCGGGTTGTATTCCATACACCCTGAGGCCGAAGGCCGAAGGGTGTATGGAATACAACCCGGGGTAAATAACCGTACACCCTTGATTGGACCTGGATAACGAATTTATTTCCTTTGTACCCATAAAAATGCTTTTTAAGGTAAGTCACTCGTCAAATTTGTTATATCAAGGATTTTTTGGGAAGTATATTTTGGATAAGTACTCATATAGTATGACTCAAAATCGCAGAGAAAATAGGGGGTCAGTGTGCATCTTACTGATCTATGGTACAATTAAGTTGACCTTTTCGCACTTACGTTTTAACTCTTTGATTTATTACTTTATCTCTAATTTTATTTTATCAGATGCTACTACGTTGATAAATTTAATCTTATTTTACATAAAATAGTTTGAATAATATTTATCATTGAACAAATCTTGCACATTAATGCGCGTTTATTATTGTGTGACCTTTTTGCACTAAAAAATAAAATATTTGGGGTATTAAAAACTAAGTAGGCAATAAAATATTTTCTTATATCAAGCTTTTTAGGAGTTAAGTGCTGATCAGTCACAAGTATCGAGTAGTTTAAAATAATGAAAGAAAAAGTAGGGGTTAGTGATGTTAATTTTGAAATATTGGTCAAAATATGTGATTTTCAGGCAAAAAATGGTGTAAATTTTATCTTGACTTCTTTAATATATCTTTATTTCTTGGCAAAGTTTGTTGAGGGAAGGTGTAAAACTTGTTCTAAAAATAAAAGTTAAGACCTACATTAAATATTACTGCAATATCGTAACGGAATAAATTCTCCGAGTAAAAGTATGTGAGGCTAAAGTTTCAAGACATTAAATTCAATAAATGTGCAGATTTGCAGAAATTTCTACTGAATATCCTTCCACCACAAAAAATAGTCCCTCATAAATCTTGCTTTTTTGTAGATTTTTAAGCAGTTTTTTCGATGAATGTTAAAAAATTTACATTGTTGAATATAAATATTTTATAAAAATTGAATTTTAATAAATATTTTTTAAGTAAGAGGTTCTGCGTGAACTTTTCTAAAAAGCTGACGAGTGACTTACCTTAAACATGATTTTTAGCTTTTATCATAGAGAATGTATGCATTGTGACGTCACGTTTTATTTACACCCGGCTCAAGTCGGGTGCACGGATATTTACACCCGAGTTTGTAACCAATCAAAGCTCGTGTTACAAGCTAGATAGGAAATAAAGTGATATATACCCTGAATTCCATTTATTGAAATATGCATCACAAAAAAGAAATAAACTCCATAAAAGCTCAATAGTAAACACACTGTCATTACTTCGTACAGACTAGCACGTCGATACACTTAGTCCGTGCTGATCAGATTTTGGTCAGGGAAAATATCACAAGTGGAAAGAGAAGTTATTTGGTATTTGCGCGGCTGAAAAAGGGGGGTGTAAATTATTATAACTGCTGTTCATAAGGTTTAACTGTAAACTGTCTATCTACATGTAGTTCTAATATACATTCTATACAAAGTTATGTATATAATCTACAGCGTCGCAAAATTCATTTATCAATTATAACTGATTATTTTAGTACTAATCTTAAATCTAAACCAATTAATTTGATGTACGGTAATTATTTACTTCAAATCTTAAAAGTAATTAACCAGAATACAAATTATGTGTACATCTATACGTTCTTTAACACACACACGGAGAAAGGCCATCCCCTGTTCAGATTGATATTTAGGCATTTGAGTTTTTTTTTATGCTTTTATGCGGGGGGGGGGGGTTGCAAAAATAATTGACATGACCGTTATTTGGAAGACAGACATTTCTGCCGTATTCACTTCTGAGATTTTTTTAAAATGTGTCACTCCGACCACAAATTATGTGCATTTTGAGGAACGTAACTGTTTTATAGTTATGTTATTACAGGAAGTCTTTCGAGATTTCAGTATCCCTGCCTGACAGTCTAGCTATGTTTTTATATAAAAATAATTTCTGTAGGAGTATTTGGGAGATAATTTTAAAAGCTAGGGTAGGGATGCTTTAAACCTGGTTGAATACGGGTAGTTTTTATTTACTCTTTTGTATATTGAACTCTCTCTCTCTAACCATCCTTTAGGGCAATATTGGGTATAAAATTCATCATTCATCATTCATCGATTTTTTTCAGGCGGGATGTCAAAACATCATGAATTGAATAATAATTTTACTTTGGACAAGAAAGTAACCTAAACGACCAAACTGAAAGAGAAACTAGAGGTATTGTGAGCAATGAGCTCACTAAATGATACCCCCGCCTCCCATATGGTTATAATGGCAAAGTACATATTTTGCGGTTGTCACTAAACCCAAAATATGAACAATGGTAATATGTAATAAACTTAAAATTCTGTGAAAGTTTCATTAAATTTCACTCAGTGGTATAAGAGGATTTGCGGATAAGAAATGGGTACCCCCAAAGCGTAACAGACAGACGGACGGACAGACGTACAGATGGACGGACATAACGATTACTATATACCCTCTAGCTTTTCAAGCGGGGGGAGGGGGGGGTATAATAAACGTAAAATATATACATCACAGGAATGTGAACATTGGGAACTTTCTCAAATACCTTCTCAAACGTGTCGAACCTGGACCTGGACAACAGACAAGAGAATTTTTAAAAGCTAATTTTAGGTAGAATGTTGAGTTCTCACGGGGAATTTGCTCTCTCTTCCTACAGAATAGAATATGTTTATTCATCAATCAAGGGCTTTAGGGGGGCATGAACAAATTATTACAATATGATTACACTGATTACAATTGCATATTACAGATGTATAATGTTAATATGACTAGTATTAGGTTTGACATGGAGAAGTGCAATACCACAAGTTGTATCATCATGAAAAAATAGGATTTGTTACATATTCACAGTACAGTCAGTCTCACACATATTTCACATTCTAATCTGAATGTACATAGTTGCATACCCACATACACAAACATACACTTACTGTTACACATATCCTTTGGCTAATAATCATTAATTATTTATGTCTAGAAATTTAATTCACATTTAATTCTATTTTCATTATCACTGTACCACAGAATCAAACTCGTTTATTATATATGTAACCCTCGCAACAATTTGCGTGAGGTATAATGTTTTTGGCCCGTCCATCAGTCAGTCAGTCCTGGTTTTTTTTTTGTGTGTGTGTGCGCAACTCCTCATAAACCACTGCACAGAATTTTGTCAAACTTTGCAGATATTTATAGGAGATAATGTGTAGATTTGCACATCACCAGGAAATTCCGAATTCTATATTTTTTTCGAGAATTTCCTCACTTTTACATTTAGATTTTCGCCATTTCTTGAATATACTAGAGATGAGCAGTTTGTCAGCGCAACCTCTCATAAACCGCTGCACACAATTTCGTCAAACTTTTTAGATATTTAGGACACAGTGCGTATAGATGTGCATATTACAAGGAAATTGCGATTCCTTTATTTTTTTCTGGGAATTTCAGAACTTAGACTTTTGGGGGAGCGTTGGGTGTGTGAACTTGCTCACTTTTTCTTTCATTGTGCATAAAATTATAAATAACTTTAAATCAAATTATATTAGGTCTAATAAAGCAAACACACAGTATTTATTTAATAATAATTGATCATAAAGAAATCTGATCTGTTACAGATTTTTTTCCTAAATTATTTTTATAAGAGTGTTATGCATGTTTTATTACACCCCTCCCTCCTTTCACAGGTAAATATCTTTAAAAGGTGAATGATTCGTATTAATACATGCTTTATTATAAATTTGATGAAGTTAAACCATGTAATCATAAATTTT